TGGGTAGCTACTTGGGACTCGCCCTACCCTCCCCGAGGACCGGCCTATGCGGGTATGGAGAAAGCGTTCCGTACCTACCTGCAGAGCCGGACTATCTCCCACCAGCCGCTGACTAACCAAGAGCTTTCCCGTCTGGATGCCGGATACAAGCGGGATGGCAAGCCCCAGGAACTGACCGAACAGCCTGATTTCGTCAAGGGCAGAACACTGTTCCCTTTCCAACTCCAGGGCGTTACCTGGCTCTGGCTCCAATGGTACCGGAAACGTTCCGCGATCTTAGCTGACGAGATGGGCTTGGTGCGTAGACAGCCAGCTCTTCTCGTGAGCTGAGCGACCTGACTCATGGGATATGTAGGGCAAAACGGTCCAAGTGATTACTTTCCTCAACCTGATCCATGTCAAGTTCCGCTGTTCGCCATCTCTTGTCGTCGTCCCCAATTCGACAATCACGAACTGGACGCGGGAGTTTGCTCGCTGGGCGCCTGACCTGCATGTAACGCCCTATTTTGGAGAAAGTGCTGCTCGCAAGGTCGTTCGCGAGTTCGAGCTGTTTCATACCGGCCGGGAGGACTATGTTGGAACGAAGAGAAAGCCTGAGCTCAGGACTGACGTGATCATCACCACCTACGAGACGGTGACGAGCGCCAAGGACCAGGCGGACAGAAGTGTCTTTAATTGCGTCACGCGCTGGGAAGTGCTCGTTGTTGACGAGAGCCAGAAATGTGAGCATGCATGGTGTTGAATCCGCTGGCAGCTGACAGTATCCAGTGAAAAGCGACTCAACACTCATCTTCAAACGCCTGAGTGAGATGAACACCGCACATCGGGTGCTCATGACTGGCACGCCACTGAATAACAACATACGGGAGCTCTTTAACCTGATGCATTTCCTCGATCCGGAAACTTGGGACGATCTCCCCCGTTTGGAACGAGAATACGCAGAGCTGGACGAAGAGAAGATCAAGCAACTTCATACTGAGCTCAAACCGTACTTCCTTCGGCGTGTCAAGGAGGACGAGTTGGACCTACCTGCGAGGGTCAGTGTTACCGCTTTCTACCGTGCTATTCGCACTGATTGACTCTGCATTCCAGAACGAAGTCATCGTGCCGCTGTCTATGAGCACACTGCAGAAGGAAGTGTATCGAGGACTCCTGAGTAAGTTTCGCCGCACAATTTCGTGGATGTGCATTGACGTTCGTATAGGCAAAAATGCAGAGTTAATTGGACAGCTGGTCGTGAATGTTTCCGCTTCGACAGCGAAAGCTGCCAATATCAAGAAAGGTACCTTGACTAATCTCTTGATGGAGTTGCGCAAGTGCGTCTATCTCAGTAGGCATATACGTTCGAGGCTAACGAGGTGCCAGGTGCCTTCAGCATCCCTACCTCGTCTCCAGTGATCTTGAACCCAAAGACCTCCCTGATGCTGAACTACATCGTATCTACGTAGAAGCAAGTACCAAACTGGTTTTCCTTCAGAAGATGCTGCCTCAGTTGAAAGAACGTGGTCATCGTGTCCTCTTATTCAGCCAGTTCGTAATCGCCCTGGATATTCTGGAAGATTTCCTGGTGGAAGAAGGTTTCAAGTTCCTGCGTTTGGTACGGATGTTCCCTCATCTATGTTCTTGCTTTCCTTACCTTTGCCGCTAGGATGGTAACACAAAGCAGTCCGATCGTCAAAAGGGCATGGACCAATTCAATCGTGAAGGTTCTGAATACTTCATATATCTGCTCAGTACTCGTGCCGGAGGTGTTGGTATCAACCTTACGGCCGCCGATACTGTCATCATATTTGATCCAGATTTCAATCCGCATATGGACCACCAGGTACGTGTTTTGAGACTCCCCCGCGTTCCTTTCCCTGATCACGCATCTCTACAGGCTATCGCTAGGGCACATCGCATTGGTCAAACGAAACCAGTTCTTGTCTTCAAATTGATGATAAAGGATTCTGCAGAGGGTATGATCGTATGTTGATATCCCTGAGCCGCTTTCTGAAACATATCCAGAGAAAATCATGCAGGCTGGCAAAAAGAAGCTCATCCTTGACCATCTCATTGTCCAGAAGATGGATGTGGACGATGAGGGTATGAATGATGTTAAAACGATCCTGAGCTTTGGAGCACGAGCACTCTTTGAAGAGGAGGCTGGCAAGAAGATTCAAGATATCACCTACTCAGAACAGGATGTTCATGAGCTCATCGTGAAAACCGAGAACGATGGCAGAGTCCTGACTGATAACAAAGCCACCAAAGTTTCTAAGGCTAAGGGACTGACATTCGACTTTGCCAAGGTCTGGGAAGCGAGTAAAGGGGCTTTGGAAGAGTTATCAGAAGACAGCACAGAGCAACAGACCGAACAACTGGACGATTTCTGGGCGAGTGTTGCGAAACGCGCAGCGGCGGAAGAAGCGGAGCGGCAGAGCAAAATTGTTATGGGCAGAGGCGGCAGAAGGGCTGCGGCTTCAGTGGGTGCATTCATCTGAGCGAAGCGTTCCTGTCGATTTGACCTTGTGCACAGAAGTATTTCATCGAAGATGACGTGAAACAGCAACGACGCGACGCGAAGATCCCAGAGTACGAAAGGGAAGACAAAAACAAAGATGGCAACAATGCTGGAGAGGAATCTGACTTTGAAGCCCCGTCAGAACAGGGCTCTGGCAGTTCCGAGGAAGACATCGTTGCTCTGGAAAATGCCCTTCTCGTGGATGATGTGGATATCTATGCACCGACGCCAGAGAAAGTCAAGAGACCAAGACGTCCGAAAAGAATCTTGGACCAAGAGGTCGCGCGGATGGACACCTCCGTACCTCTAGCCCTACCATCAACGTCCCATCCTCCATTGGCAGTCCCATCTGTAGTCCCATCTGCAGTCCCATCTGCCGCTCCAACCAACTTGACTCCTTCCTCATCTGTTCCATATCCAGTGGACCTGATCGAACGTCGGGCGATTCGTCAATCGATCCCTATAGCCCGTCTGGGACAGACCCCAACGCAACAGACGTCGCAGATACAGCCCTCAGTTCCATATGGCCACTGGCTAATACCGCACAATCCAACAGATATGAATGTCAGCACTACGCTGACATCACCATATGGTCCCTGGATGCCTCGACTACCTTTTCAACAGCAAGTCATTGCCACGACGCCGACATCATCCAATACCTTGCCACAAAATCCTACCTTGCAGCATCCTAATCCGCAAATCAACTCTGGTCCGACAGACACGTCTCACTTGCTACAGTATTCTTACCTATATCATAATTATCAGCCGACCATGCCAGCTTCCCCCCCAATTCGTCTTCCTGTGGTGCAGCCTGTTGCGCCGACCGCTGTGCCACTGCCGAACACTGCTCAGCCACGGCCTCAAATTTCTGTCACAAGAGCCTCTCGCCCTGCAGTAGGACGCCCGGCCCCCATGCCTGAGCGCCGCGCGGCTACAATACCCCAGAAAAGGAGCCGCAGTCCCGAGTTGAGGGCTGATCCTGATGCAAACAGCGCTTGCGTGCTGTGCGGTGACGTACACCCTGCAGGGGAATGCCCTGAATTGCACGATATCGGAGCTTTGGAGGCGGTCAAGGAGCGAATCCTGGCTTCAAACGAGCCAGATGAGACGAGGGTATGTCCTTCAGCTGCGTTCCAGGAAGCCTACTCACCTCATTTCCCCTAGATTCCAGCCCTCGATGCAATTGAGGATCTTCTGAAGCTTGCACGGGAGCATCAAGCCCAAACCCAGGCGCCTCCGCCTGTCCAGAAACAGGTGCCAGCTGGATCTTTCCCCACATCCACAGGACTCTCTCCGGTGAAGATCGGGCCTCCGCGAAAGCGGAGGAAGTCTTCTAATCACGCATACGCTGTCTCAGAAGCCTCTAGCCCCAATCGTCAAAATGAGAGCAGTTTCGGAGATGCTGTCACAGTGGAAGCAGACCGCTCCGCCAACACGAACGGTACCCAGGTGCACTCCAGATGTCCTGTATGCCATGGAGCGATGCACCCCCCGGAAAAATGTAGCCTTCTCCTTACAGGCCCCATCGCTATCAAACAGAATATTACAAAGTTGGAAGGAGATTCACGGTATCAAGCGTACGTGGGAGAACTGAAGGATCTGATGAAGCAACGACATGGTATCATATACACCGAACCTCCTCGGCTATCTCGCTCAAGTTCACAAGGCATCCAAGCCACGCCTATCAGTGCCCCGCTGCAGTCCGGGACGAGCAACCCAAGCAAAACAGTGCGTCTTGGTTCGGGAATGCACGGTGTTCCTGTAAATGCGCCTGTGCAATCGCTGGGAGGAATGTCGGGGCTAGGAGGACGACCGTCTTCTCGGTCCCAACCCAGTAGCTCTCAGTCCACTCAATCTCAACCCTTTCCATCTGCTCCCCAAAGTCATCCGCTCCGGGCCACCCGCAATTCCTTGGTTTCAACTCAGTCTGTAACAGCTGCAACTAATGCCCCTACACCATCGAGTTGTATGCCGATGACCTCGAGCCAGCCTGCAGCCACTCAAACGATTGCCAGCCATCAACCCTGCCTAATTTGCCACCGTCCGGGGCACAGGTCAAATGAATGCCCAGGAATGCAAGTCATGACGTATGCTCAACTGAAGTCGATGTACAATGTGATGAAGAAACAGCAAGCCACGCATTTTCAGGAAGAAGTTGGCCTGGCGATGAATGCTCTGTGGCATCGAAGAGGTGTGCTGAAGGGCATCGAAAGGGCGCAGAAGCAGCTGGCGAGCGCAAGTGCACCCATCACGGGGCCGTTGCCACCTCAACCTGCTCCTCGTATCCGTATCCATAGGGAAGTTATAGAAGTCAGTGACTAGGGACGATATTGTATGTACGACACATAATGATTCCCTATACCACATCCTCCTTTCTTTGGGCATTAATACGCACCCAACAATGATGTAGCATAGCAATAATGCGATACACCACATTCCCACCACAAACCCCATGAGGTCAATCCCTCTCTTCACATCTAACCACACAAGTAGGTGGGCAGCCATGAACCATAGCCATATCATTTTGCGCATGTACGACCACATAACATCATACGATGCACTCCCCGTAGCTCGAGAGCGTAAATGCCTACATCCAGGCTCCACATCAGCCACTAAAAATGCGGATCTACTCCTCTTCCTCCTCGCCATCACCACCAGCCTCCTTGCTAGCAGCAGCAGCAGCACGCTTCCTCTTAACACGGCCGGGACGGCCACCACCGTAGGGCGAGTTGAGGGCAAAGTCGATGTGCTTCTGGCTGTCCAGGCGCACGACGAAAGAAGGAATATTGACTAGTTGACGACCGACGCTGGACACCCTGTAAACAAGTTGCATGGAAACATGGAGCAAACGAGCACGTACCGAATGTGCCTCTGCCTGATCAGAACACGAGCATGATGGATACTCTTTGCAAGACCGCTCTTGAACACCTGCGTCTGGAGCCTGCGCTCCAAGAAGTCCTCAACCTTCAGCGCAAGCACGTAATCAAGACGCATGCGAGTCTCGTCGAGCACACCGATGCGCACGAGCCGGCGGATGAGCGCGTTGCCCTCGAACAACCGCTTCGGGTCCTTGTCGTCAAGCTTGAGCAGCTCACGTGCAGCACGACGAATCTTGGACAGTGTCAGGCCAATACGCCAGATCTCGCGCTTGTTGCGGAGACCGAATTCTCCAGCGAGCTAAGAGGAGTGTCAGAACTGACCTAGGATGGAGAAATGAAGAACACACCTTGAGCTCGGCATCGATACGAGCCGCCTCGAAAGGCCTCTTTGGCACCTTATAGCTGCAACGATATCAGCACTTCATCTCCATCACTTCCACCATCCAAGCGTACGTTTTTGAGTGATTCCTTGGTGCGCTGTAGAATATCCATCAATAAACAGTTTGAACTACACGACGATATAACGACGTACCGAGGCATGATGTGTCGTGCTAAACCAAGAGCGGACTGGCAGGGACAGTGACCAAAAAGAGTCCGCGTGCGAGCGGCCGCGTCTGGTGCTGTACAGCTACATTAGGGTGTGGCTGACACCCTTGCGGAAACAAATTGACCGCTCGATTGGGCGCATTTCGCAGAGTCCCTGGAAGTCGTACAAGGTAACGTCCTCGCCATCCACTAACTTGTGCGTATTCCTGTCAACGTCAGTGCCGACACGCTCTTACTGACCGGTCATCGTTCTTGTCAGTAGACAACCATGCCTCACTCTTTTGGTTACCGCGCGCGTACGCGCCATATGTTCAAGAAGGGGTTCAAGGACCATGGCCGGGTCAAGCTGTCGACGTACATGATCAACTACAAAGTTGGCGACATTGTCGATATCAAGGCCAACTCCGCTGTGCAGAAGGGTATGCCGCACAAGTACTACCACGGGTGTGTCTGTTCGTACATCCGTTATATTCTCGAGGTTAAAAGACCCTGCGTTATAGGAAGACTGGCATTGTGTATAATGTCACTCCCCGTGGTGTCGGTGTCATCGTCAACAAGATCGTTGGCAACCGGTACCTAGAGAAGCGCGTGAACCTGCGTATAGAACACGTGAAGCACTCCAAGTGCCGCCAGGAGTTCGTCGACCGGGTGAAGCGCAATGCGGCGCTCAAGAAAGAGGCGAAGGAGAAGGGCGGTGGGTGTCCCGGTTTTCGTGCCTGGTCATACGAGCTGATTGAAATACAGAGACTATCACCCTCAAGCGTGTGCCCGCATTACCCCGTGAGGCACACCACGTACCCAGCGTTGGCGTTCTCCCACAGACGATCGTCCCCCTGCCGTACGAGACAACGATCTGAGCGTGGTCGGGATTTGCGTTCGTGGTTCAGAGGTGTTGGGAGCTGGAAGATTTGCTGCGGCCGAGAGTTGTTTCACTATGGAGGTCGTCGAGCTGGGGCATACGATATGTCTATGTTCTGCATGCTCAATAAAACACGACTTCATGCCCAATCTCTTACGATTCGTGGATTGACTGGGTTTGCACAGGTGCATCTTGCAGGGTCCCATGTTGTATGATGAAAGGGATTAGCCCGTAACATTACGCATCTACCAAGCTCCTTAGGCGAGTTCTCACAACTACGCGTCCACATCACGCTACGAATCCATATGATACATCTCCGGTACAGTCTACAGTTTAGAACCAAACACCTTGAACCTCTCCTCCATGGGCATGAACTCTTTCGGATCCGCCGGAGCCGCAATGTTGCCGAACGGCATCTGGGCGGTCAAGAACCAAGTGACGGGAAGGTTGAACTTGTCACGAACACGCTCGTCAATAAGCGGGTTATAATGCTATCCATTCATCTCAGCATGTCGTGATTGAAAACCACAAATCCCGCGAGACCTACCTGGAGCGTGGCACCCAGACCTTCCTGTTCCAGCGCGCACCACGAGATGAACTGGATGATAGCGCTGGTTTCGTGCGCCCAGCCAGGGAAACGTTCCAGGTACAGAGGGTACTTCTCCTGCATGCCCTTGACAGCCGCGTTATCCTCGAAGAAAAGGATGGTACCGTGGCCGGATTTGAAGCACGTGTTGACCTTCTTCACTGTGTTCGGGTACACTTCGGGCGGAGCGATCGGCTTGAGCACCTCGAGGACCATGTCCCACAACCAGTCGTGCTCCTCCCCGAAGAGGACGACGACGCGCGACGTTTGACTATTGAACGAGGACGGGGCTTGCTTAAGCGCGTCCTGGACGATGGCGACAATCTTGGAATCGGGGATCGGGGAGCCCTTCTTCAGCATGTAATAGCTTCGGCGCTCCTTGGCTACTTCCAGAAACGCCGCGGACGGTGAAGGTACGGTGGCCATGGTGCGGGTTTGTGACCGAAGGGCGTGTAGAACGGCGGGAGCGGTACGAGGGAGCGTTGGCCTAGAGCGAGACAAGGCCGTAGCAGCACGGGCGACAGCGCGCATTTTGAATGATAGTGCGTTGAGGGAAGTCGTAATTTTTAGCTAATGACAAGCGACGATAGCAGTGCAGGGCGTCCGGTTGCGCCCTTCTCTTCTGTCCGTATGCCTTCAGTGGGCAGCTATCGTGGGTTCGATCCGGTCGTGGGCGTGGATGGGCACTGGTCTGCGGTGCAGAGTCGCCCCATCAGTGGAGGTCAAATAAGCGATTGAGAGAGTCGCCAGCTCGACCAACGCAGGATGTTCCGCCGGGTGACGGAATAAGCGTGCGTAAGGCCGACCACTTTCATCCAGACACCAACGGGCATGCGCTAGAAGTCGGCATGATGGGTGTGTGTGGTACGCCCAGTGTGGGGTAACAGTTTACTCCGAGGACCAATGGGCTTAACAACGACGTGTAGTGATTTTTGTTGGAGGGCGTCCATCTTAACCAGCACCAGTAAGAGAGAGCCAAGGACTTGACTTTAAGCAGGATCCTCAAGAGAATTTATTTTCATATATAGACGACAGTGACCAGAGATCAGGGCCAGAACACATCAGTGTTGAAGAAAAGAAGAGGAAATCCTTATGTGATGGGTGACAAGAAGAAGCCCAGCCTTTTTGCTTCCGTTCATAGCGAAGATTATTAACTTTGTCATCCTCGGAATCTGCGGACAATGCCAGCTTTGGGCCTCTTCCGGCACAGCGACGCCGGGGGACAACCATATCTTTGATGATTCTCATGCTCGATGTGGTCGAAATCCTGCTGGACGGAAAAATTATGACACGCTTTGCTGATTAATGCTGATTATCTGCTGGCACCGTGTCTTTCTGTTGCATCTGACGACGTTCGGCAAATTCTTATGTTACCCCTGAACATGGGAGGGGCATAATCCACACGAAATAGCAACGCGGCTCGTCTAGCTCATGGGAATGGCTGAACGTTCTGTCCGTGTTCCTGACTCTGAGTGACAGCGCCTTATATGACCAAATCATGGTCTGCCTTCAGGAAGCCGCCAAATGAAGGCACAACAGTCAATGAAGCCGCACATCAGGAACCTTCCAAGACAATCATTGCGCATGTGGACTCGATTTTGTTTTTACATTGGACCATGCCATCTTTGTCTATGGTGCCTGCACTGCTCTTACAACGACGAATCCCAACTGTTCTCACGCGCCGAACACCTTGAAACGATCCGGCAGAGGCAGGAACGTCTTCTCACCGGGCTCAGCAGCCGGAGCACCGAATCTGCAATACGTTATGAGGGATCTGATTCGCGTCATTGGAGTATAAGAGATGCTTACGGCATCTGGGCCACGAGTTCCCAAGTCACGGGCAGGTTGTACCGGTCCCGGAAGCGTTCATTGATCAGGGGGTTGTAGTGCTGTATCCTCGGTCAGAACCATGCCGACCAGAACAAAGACGAGGAAACCAGTCAAGTGGAATAGATGGACGCACCTGCAGAGACGCGCCCAGTCCCTCCTTCTCAAACGCGAGCCACACGATGTATTGGAGCATGCCGCTCGTGTGTTGCGCCCAGGTGGGGAAACGGTCCTGGTACAGCGGGAACTTCTCCTGCATGTCGATCACGCTGGCGTTGTCCTCGAAGAACAGGACCGTGCCGAAGCCAGACTTGAAGCATGCATTGACCTTCTCAATCGTGCGCGGGTACTGCTCGGGTGGGGCGACAGGCTTGAGCACCTCGAGCACGAGGTCCCAGAGAGCCTCGTGTTCCTTTCCGTAGACGATGACAACACGGGAAGACTGGGAGTTGAACGAGCTGGGAACGAACAACAGAGCCTCTTCAACGATCTTGGTGATCCTGTCCGCCGGGATAGGGGTCTTATTTGAGAGCGCGTAGTAAGAACGGCGCGCCTTGACGAGTTCGAAGAAAGCTTCGGACATGGTTGATGGTCAAACGGAGTAGTACGCTGGAGCGGTGGAGAGATGCTGGCGGTTCGCAGGTGGAGGGAGTCAACCGGCGCTCAGGTATTTATGCAATATTTATGGGGCCTTGTTCTCAAGCGGGTGATAGATAAGCATCTGTTCCTCCCCAGACACACCGAGCAGGCGGAGAGCCGGTAGTCCGAGGACGATGCGCATGGCTGGCTGGGAAGAGCCAGCTTAGAATGTAGGGGTGAAGGTGTGCTGGAACAAGGCTTCCGGAAGCGAGTTCTGGGCAGAACCGAGGTCCTTCCTAAACGGTTTGCCTGGCTGACCGCCGAGCGTCGAACACAGGGGTTGAGTGCTACACGCCGAGGGTGGGGTCGAGCTTGAACGAGAAGTTGCAAGAAGATAGGGAACACGACGTCGCCGTTCTGAAGCATACTGGAAAGTGCTGATGATGGGTAATAATGCTAGCGGTAATGTACCTCGGCAATGAGTGCCTTTCGAATGGTCAGAAACATTGATGAAAATATTTGGGTACCGGTGCGCTGACCCATAAGCAGAGGGAGAATGGCTGATGCAAGAAAGACAGTTTTTCATATGGACGATGCCGGCATTCCGCGAGCCTCTGCGCAGCACACATGAACAGCGGACAACATCAGAATTAAGGACGAACGAAGGCAGCTTTTCACATGCAGTCTTTGTTTTTCCCCGATGAACAACGGCCGAAGGTGATATATGCCCCGCACATTTCACAAGCCGTATATATGGTCAATGCAGTTTGATTACTCTCATGAAGTTCTATTCTACGATCGGAAACCAACAGCGATTATGACCTATCCTCCGTACTCGATGACGCGCGGCATCTGCTCAAATGCCGAACACCTTGACCCGGTCCTCGAGCGGCTTGAACGTCTTCTCACCGGCAGGGGCAGTCGCCTCGCCGAAAGGCATCTGTGCGACCAGGACCCATGTGTCGGGCAGCTTGAAGTGTTCACGGAGCTTTTCGTCAATTAAGGGGTTATAGTGCTGGAAAAAAAGTCAGTATGTTGCTTCTGAACACACTTGGACATGCTTACCTGGAGAGAAGCAGAGATGCCCTCGTTCGCCAGAGCGGTCCAGACGATAAACTGTACGATCGCGCTCGAGTGCTGGCTCCACACAGGGAACCGATCCGGATAAAGGGGGAAAGTGTCCTGCATGCCCTTCACAACAGTGTTATCTTCCCAGAAGAGAACCGTGCCATATCCAGCCTTGAAGCAGTTCTCGACCTTGCCGACCGTCTTGGGGAACTCTGGTTCGGGCACAATGGGCTTGAGCACGGAGAGCACTGTCTCCCATACGAATTTATGTTCGTCCCCGAAGAGGACTAGGGCGCGCGAGGACTGGGAGTTGTAGGATGATGGACCGTTCTTGATTGCCGCTTGGACGATCTCGACGACGCGGGAATCAGGGATGGGGATCTTGTTGCTGATCGTGTAGATCGAGCGACGGAGTTCGACAGCCTTGAGGAAGGCGGCGGCCCCGGGTGTGGAGGTAGAAGTGGAAGCAGAGGACATCCTTGTTGGTATGATGAGGTTAGGGCTGGGAGAGTGTTTGGAGGTACGATGAGATGATGAGAAAGGACGGGAAACGCTGCGTGCTACGGAGCTCAATACGGCGCGCATTTTATATCCGCCGGCCGGTTGTCCTCGCAGAGAGGTTTAAATGCTATACCGGGTCGCACGCAAGGCATGCAGAGGTGTCCAGCTGAGGAAGCGAGAGCGCAAAGTCCCATATTTGGCGAAGAGCTAGTAAGCAGTCATCACACCGCGTCAGCATGGTGACGTCCGATGTTCCTTTGCTGCCTGTCGCGTTTCTTCTCCGGACATTAATGGCCAAGTTTTCAGAATGGGCGGGTGGTGACTCTTGTCAGAACATTGTGGACCCTGTTGGTAAATGCTGACTAGGACGGGATGACGCAGAGATCAGAGGGGGGGTTGGGGTTGGTAAGCGCTCGTGGGTGTGAGCAGCTGCAGGGAAGGTATCACAGCACGGCTGACTAAGACGGGCTGAGGTTTGTGTAATGGGATTCGGAAATGGCTTGCAGGGGTTGACGTATTTTTATCCGTGTGCTGGAGATGTGTATGATGCTTGGAAACAAGGTTCTGTTCGTGATATATCATTTGAACCGAACACCGCTACTCTCTCCGTCGACATAAGCAAAATATAAGAAGCACCATTCTCACCAGACAATACCACCCAGGTAAGTATAAGAATCGACCAAGCACTGACCTCCCCACGCAAGCCCATGAGAAGACGGAACACACGTCCGCAGCGACTACGGACCTAACAAAGGGCACGTGACGCATCATATCCTTATATTCTGTTGGCATGGGGCAGAAGTCCGGACACGGCTTGAAGGTTGGGTCTGGATGGGAGGAACAGGGCAGCGGGAGTAGCAGGGTATGTGGGCGTTGGGGTGTCGATCGAGGGGTTCGAGCGTCGAGGCTGGACATGGTCAGCAATGGCAGACTGCTGACATCCGATGGGAAGGGAGTCGTCAGACTCAAAGACGTCGAAGGCGCGTACAGGATCGTCCATGCGGTATCATAACGAATGCGTATAGGCGAAAGGAGATCATCTTCAATGCATGCGACCGAGACGGACAGTCCGTGTCACAGACCACAGTGACAGAGCACACTTCTCCGTTGTCAGAGGGGTACGAGCCGTCGTGGAATCCTCCTTCCCAGGCCATAGTGCAATGCACAGGCATGATCATTCGAATGCTCACATAGCCTCAGTCTGACCAAGAACAGAGCAGCGAATCTTGGTCATATTCAATCCCTCACTCACTATTCATACATTGTTTCTCGACTCCGAGCCTCGCATGCCAGAGCTGCAACCGCATGGCCTAACAGCGTGAACGCGTTCGAATCACGCACCAAACCCCTTCCCCTGAGGCTGGGAGATCCTCCCTCCTCCCCCAACCTCCTTCCTCCTCCTCTCCCCTCCTGCTTTTTCCTTCTCCCGCTCCCTCTGTCGCCCGAGAAGATCATGATCCCCAAAAGACTTGCGTCTCTGTCTGTCCTTCTTGGGAGGCTCTTGATGCTCCCTCTCCCTCTCTCTTTCGCGTTCGCGTTCCCGTTCTCGCTCCTTCTCGGGATCCTGTTCCCCGGTATGAGCCTCCGGTCGCGGGTAGTCGGGTTTCTCTTCCGCTTCAGGAGCACGAGGAGGGCTGGATCAGATCCCAATCTCAGGTTCGATCTATGCACCTGAGGAGAGTGCGTACGCTGGATGGACAGGCTTAGGCCTCGAGGACATCGATTGACGCCGACCGGCGACTTTGACTGCATACAGTCAGTCCAGTCGTCTCAGGTCAAGTAGTGTATGGTATGGTACATACCTGCAGGGGGGTGCTGGGTCATCGTTGATGCCATCGTTACTGTTGTCGCTGGTGTTTACTAGCTAGGAGCTGGTTGTTCAAGCTGGTTGAAGAGAGAGAGCCAGCAGGAGCATGAGCCTCAGGCTCTACTGGCAGGTCACGCTACCCCCTTCTCTTTGGTCCGGAGAGCGGGAGGATTGGAGCACGAGACCTGCGGAGTGGGCGGGTAGTCACGTGAGGGCGGGGTCGACCAAAGAGGATGTGATTTTAAACGGTTTACAGACTAGTAAGTATGCTTTTGAGAGCTGAAAGCAGTAATATTTATCGTTAGAAATATCTTATTATGTTGTTGATGGGAGATCACAGAGAGGGGAGTACGCTTCGAACAACCCTACAAACATATCTTTCTCTACCTGTTCTGAGCATTGTATCATTACATTAATTGCATTTGACTTGTCTGTCTGTCATCACCTCGACCTTCCACCTCTTTCAGTCCTTCTTCGGCATCCTCCCACCAGAATGTCTCCATCCCAACAGCTGCTCCGCTTTCTCACTAGTGTAGAACGAGTTATCCCCCTTGACCGTCCTCCTTATCTCCGTCTTCGGATGATACGTCTTCGCCAACACCTCCGCATCATGTCCCTCCGCCCGATGATCATCCCCAATAACGTTGATGATCTCAGCTCCCCCTCCTTCTCTCTCCAGAGCAAGCAGAAACGCCCTAGCAGCACTCTCGTCGTTTACCCAGCCCCACAGGTCCCGCCCTGCACGCGCAACCCACTCGGGGGGGATAATCTTCTCGTGCGTAACATGATGCAGCCGCAGGGTGGTGATCGTCATCTCCGGATAACCGCGGGCGATGCTGTCAGCTTGAAGCTCGATAATGGCTTTGCTGAGCGAGTACGCGTCGGCGGCTTTGATAGCGTGCGTTTCGTCCACAGGGAAGAAGTCGTAGATCGGGTCATGGGGAGAGTACACTCCTCCAATAGCGTTGATACTGTTTCCCATCAGCACCTGAACACAGTCCCGTACCCGATGAATAGCGCACCTACCAGCCATGACGACCCGCTTTATCCCCGCCTCGGCCGCAGCCTGGAGAGCGTTAAAGCTCAGCACAACATTCGTATTATGCACCAAGGCCGCGCTCTCCCCATCCGTCCACTTATCCCTAATGAGGCTAGGAATACCCGCCAGATGCACAAGCGCATCCGCCCCCTCTAGCGCAGCACGGTATGCCCTGTAGTCCGAGAGGTCGACAGCCCGGTGCTCGATCCTGTGCGTGTGGATGCCGTACAGCTCTGGAGAAGAGGGCGGGAGCGTCTTGTCCAGACAGAGAAGGGTGTGCGAGGTGTGCGCCAGTGCGTAGGCTACGAGCGCTTTCCCGACTGTGCCGGACGCACCGGCGATGACGACTTTGAATCCCATGGTACGTATGCACTTGAGCAGAAAATAAAGTAGTAGTAATGGTAGTAGACAGTGGCTGAAAATACTGCAGAGGAAACAGTCGGTAATGAAATAAGTACGCCACGGGTCCGACCGGCAAAGGTTCTACCAAGCTCTGACGTCAAGCCGCTGAGTCATCCACATTTCTCCGGGGCAAGCGCTCCCGGAAAAACACGGCGAAGAGAACATCAGGGTATTTCCACTCGGGCTTGTACAGTATTGTTGGAATTTAGTGCGTTTGTTGTTGTTTGTCATTGTCGGGATATTGTCGGCTTAGCTCCTAATGCTGAAGAACAGAACAGTGTATTATATCTAATACACATAGGAAGCCACACGATTTTTCACCAGTCCAGTCCAGTCCGATTAGTCCGAGTTCTCACCCCCCCTTCCTCCCCGCTCGTCGTTCACCCACTCTGGTAAATCGCCGGCCCGGCAACAACATGGTCGTTCAGCAGACTGATGTTGTATGGCGTCACGTGCAGGTCTGTGTCCGTGATCAGGATGAACATCGTCTCGTTCACAATGGGATCGTAGTAGCCTTCGATCACGAAGACGGTGCCATCTGGCTGGTACGTCCCTGTCCGAGTAGTCAGTACTAATGTCCGTTCCTGTGATGACTAAGGGTGGAAGGATGCACAGGCACTGTTACCAGAAATATCATTCAGGGGCGTGTAAGTCGTGTTGAGCTGAGAGATCCAAGCTGCAAACTTGGGCTTCCCAGCGCTGGTGGAGGTCGTGTACAGGTCGTTATATCCCACTTTCTTGCCAGGGTTTTCCCATGTGAAGGAGACTTTCTGGCGTGGGGTAGAGAGGGCAGTGCGGTTGTGCGTGATGGCGGGTGGGTAGGCCGGGTCCGGGGCCCAGGGGTTGTCCTGGAAGAATATGCCGATTAGGAACATAAGCGCAAGAGCTGCTTCGTTTGGGAGAAGAAACGCACGATGATGTCCAGGGCGGGGAAGTTCTGCCACTCGATCTTCGGGTTATCATCTGGGCAGGTAGCGATATACGGCGCCAGCAGCGTCCATGCCATGCTCTGCGTGATGCCCGTCTCGAACCATACCGGCATGGGGAACAGTCCCTCAAACTGGCGGAAGATCATCTGCTGCCGCGCCTCGGTAGTGATACTCTGTAGGAGAAGCTGGGCCGTGGGACGCGAGTTGAGGTGCGGAAGGAAGCCGTACACCCCAGACTCGCCGAACCGGGTGAGCTTCTGGCAGGAGTCAACAAACTCAGGCACGGTCTTGAATGGGTAAGTGTAGGTGCACTCCTTTGCTGCTCTAGCTGGGAGGTATGTGAGCGAGCTTGACATGTTAATGAAAGAGGAAGTGAACGTACGCCCAAGCATGTCGGTGATCAGCTGGGCATGCCCGCGTTCTTGTTCGGCCATGAATTCAACCAGTTCACGGTCCTGGCTGTTCAGCCCTGCGTCCTCATAGTCCTTGAGAGTGAACATCTCGAGGCCCTTGTAGAACAAGTCGAGCTCGATCCATTCTTGGTTCAGCTGGAGCGGGTCGTTAATTGACTACATGACAGAAGAATGAAGGTTCGAACCGCAAGGTTGAGTGACTGGAAGTCAAAGTCCGAGTAAGGCTCGTATTTGGGAGCCGGAGAATCGGGCGAGACACCGACACCACCAGAAGGCGTATAGGGTGCTACCGGGGCAGGCCACGCATTCGCGAGCAGAGCAGCAGTGAGAAGGGTGATGACCGAGAGCATTTTGAAGTTTTCCGCCGTCTACTGACTGAAAGTCGAATGAGCTCTTGGTCCTGACATGCATCTCAAACGTCGCCTTAATATACGCACAGAGCGGCCGATAATGCTGCTCCGATAGCTCGCCGGTGGACGTGGATCGAGCTAGATCGGTTGAACATTTGGTCCGAGGGGTGCTCTATGATCATCGGAGCTTAGGAACACTGCTCCGACAGGAGTCAGCGATTGCCCTTCTGCGAAAAGCGGCAGGAATATGACGGCGCTGACCAAGTTCATCTTGATTCGGAGATACCGTCCAAGAGGTGGAGTCTAAAAGGCGCACATTCCACGGTGAATAATCGTACGATCGACTGTTAATGGAGGGTACACTTACTGTTTTGAGCGGGCGAATTTCCGTTCGGGGCTAAGAGTTGGATCAGTGGACCACAGGGCTGGGAGTCGAGTTCCGAGACATCCTTTTAGTATCCTTACGGCACCGAGAGTACCCGCCTCACCGGCCGCAATACAAAGTGTAGCGGCCTTGGTGCAGGGGTACAATGGAGAACGAAAACAAAGCAATGGATTTCGACCCCTTGCTCTCGATTCGTGAGTCGTTCTGTGACGTCCTGTTCCTCTTGTCTATCATCGATATTTCCAAGTTGCCGATAAAGTAGTGACGACAGGTTGTTATTGAGAAAATATTCCCTGGTCGAGTGAGATCGTCCACAGTCTTGAACGGTCGAAGACCTACGAATCCCCAAATAGCACTCTCGCCTCGTGCTCAGTAATTTTCTTCGGCGCCATTCCGATCGGCAGGCTTCTTAGTGTTCCGAGGAGATATGTTGAAGCGCCTCTTTGCTAAAATAGGTGTGATGGATGTTGACGGCCATACTCCACCCCAGGGTTTGGGAGGTATTTGCGCCGAGCAAGCCATGCACCTCCGCCGGTCCGCAGCATACGCCGGTTAAAGAAGACCGCTGGACCTTCCATCTTATGACGCATATACTGATCTCGAATAAGATGCTCGAGCGCTTGTGGTCCATCGATTCCGGTCTGCGCGTTGAGAATAATCAGGTGCCTTCGAATGATCGGCTTCGGGATAACAGAAGCCTGGAGTTATACAGAGATAACTTCAAAGACATCAAAGATACTAACGCCGAAAGAAACAGACAGAGCTTCCCGGTCCAATTGGTTGAGTCCTGAAGATACAGATCTCTGGAGGCGAGTAAAAACACTGCCATCCATCTCGCTCGCGAACGTTTGCTGCATAAGCATCCTATCACACCGCGGCCATTATGCCGACCAAGCCATGTGTGTAGTTATATCGTAAGCATGTAGGATGGCATCAAGATGAGCAGATTTAGTGAAGTCTGTTCAATCGCCACTGTTGCTCCGGTTGGTATGTACCATCTACGGCACCGGCATCGAACTGGATCAAGTAGCTTCGCAGGGGACGTAAGGCGCTTCGTCCAGTCGTACGATGGCAGTTGCCAGCCGTTCTCGAGTGATAGCACAAATTGAGGTCTCCGAGCGATCAGACGATGTAAAAGTGCTGCCATGATATCGATGTTGGATGTCTTCGCAAGAGAGGACTGAGGGCCGCCTGAGTTCTCCGTCGGAGAATGTCCAGCGAGCCCGGAGCCGAACGTTGCTCCGTGAGGGTACCCCGTCACCTTTGCACCCCGTCGTCACCAAGTGAAGGACGACAAGCTCGAGGCTAGAGGTATATTCACCTCCTCTCAATCTGTATTATGTTGTTACAATACCATCCATTGCAGTCTGCTCTACTGTACTAAATAAGCTCCATCGACGACGTGGATCCGACACCCATAACTCCCGGCAGTATTACAGCCGCGGTGATGCACAAAACCCAGCTCCTCATCATCTTCGTCTTACCACGACCTTGCTGACATTCTCCCAGGTTCATCAACGCGACGTCGAACACCATCATCGAGACGGACGGCGGCTCCGAGTTGCTGATGGCCATCAGAGCTGAAAGCGCCAATGAACGTCATGCTGACGGTGCGTTCTCATAGTGGCAGGTTACCTTCCTTGGTACCTGCAACCCTGTGGACATCCATGCTTACAGCACTCTCGCCATCAATGTGACTTTCCTCGCTGCACCGGCCATCTCTGCGGACACTGTCGACCATCACAACCATATTATTGAATGGAATGAAGACATCCTCCACCAGCAGGAGAAGGCTACTGCTGCCTGCATTTGCAGTGGCGTGAACGGGATCGAGAATGTGAACAAGAATGAGATGAAGCCTGTCCAAACCCCCAACAACCTCACTGCGTCCATTGCCCAGAGCGCCATCTCCCACTCTGATAACACCTCCACTGCTGATTCCCAGTCTCCTGTGATGGCGGTCTGCTCTCCTGTGCCAGCTGCCTCTACCAGCAGGGAGCCTGACTATTTCGATGCTGGTGTGGTGCATGACTTTGAAGGCGACTTGGACAAACCCACGCGGGAGTCCTATCCTCTCTATGATCCCCTTGCATGCAAGGATGAGTTGCCAACCGACGAAAATGCCTTCCAAGACAGCCATACTGATGCAGCCGTTTGCTTTGTGCCAGATAGCATCCCGCACCTCATTTTCGAGTCTGGAGGAGAAACACCGGCGTCAGTCACCGATAATTCGAGCGATGATGATGAGGGTGATACTGCACTGTCTGTGAGTAGGCGAGCACGTACAGGGATGTCCGCCCTGACAGATGCCTGCTGTAGTGGCCCGAAGACGGCTCTCTTTTCCTTACAGAATCCCGCAGAATGTTCGTACGACTATGGCAGAATGAGGTGGTGCCTCCCGCCCTGGCGCTTGGGCTCGAGTTGGACATGCGGTGGCTATGGCAGGGCTCTGACGAAGTTCTCGTGTTCAGGGTAATATTGCAGCAGGGCTCGCGTTCGAGATAGCTGACGATTTGGTCAGAGCGGTATGGTCGTTCCTGGGAGAATGGGCCAGGAAGACGTTTTTGTGCGCAGCGTCGACAAAGATGGGGAAGAGGAAAGATGCTTACGACGCCTGGTACAAATCTATGGGTTGCACCACTCCGAGTTTCCCATTGCAGAGCCTCTGTGTGTGTTCGACGGGCTGACCAACCGGCTGGGAAAGTCCCGTATCTGCGTAGTGATGAAACGCCTGCGGCAGTGGCACAAGAGCGAATCTGGACTCGATTGCGTATCACCCGTGTTGCCTCAACTTTTCTTTTCTTTTGTGAGGCGTCTGCTTCAGGTGAGTGTATGTTATTCCGCACTTTAGTAATGTTCAGACGCATATCAGAATCTGGCTTGATTGCATGCGGCGGGAATCAGTCATGGAGTGTGTCTATGCTTTTTGTTGCATTCGTTCCACACAGCTTATTGTTAATGCAGGACATTCGTCCGTGGAATATCATGCTTGATGAATCTAATCTTCCAGTTCTCATCGACCTGGGGGAAAGTGTCTGCCATCCTCTCGACGGAGTCTCTCCACGCTTATGCCACACACCTGTAGAAAACACGAAGCACGTTAGATGGACCAGTGATAGGGGATATCATAGTCTACAACGTTCCCTAGGGCAACCGTATGATGGACGGTCAGATGACGTGTTCGCTACCGGAGTGCTTTTGGAGTGTTGCTTGTACACCACGCAAGCTCAGAAAGTTTGTCTTGCCTTCGATGTAAAGCCAAATACTCATCAATAATCGCAGGCGCTTGTGGGCAGCATTGCTCCTCAGTTCCCCCTGCTCATTAAATCGATGCAGGAGGACGAGGAAGAAGACAGAATAAGTGCATCTAGGGCCTTTGATATTTGGGTGGAATCCGCTTTGCTTTGCTCTGCAAATGATGGAACAAAAGCACCTCGATAGCCTTGTGCCGTCGGTGCTGGGGCATGATCTTCTTATCATTCACATTCACAAACCAGTCATACATCATAACTGAGCCCCTTATCCGTATCTTAGTGTTAGAATAGTCAAAAGCAGCGCTGGTCCGATTCACATGTCTGGGTTTGGAGCACATGTCAGCAAGGTTATAGTTTGTCCGCAACTCCGATTCCATACCAGTGGCAGTGCATTGTAATCGTTCCATAAAAGGAGATTCACGTCAACGTCGTCCAAAAGGTCGAGCTCGCTGTCTGGTCCGTTGCCGTCTATTCAGTGTTGACGATCTCGAAGTAATGCCGGTATCGGCAGGCAATCTGGGTGTCTGGTTTACATCAGTGCCAAGGGCATGACGCCAAACACGTTGCCGCTGCCGGCGCTCGCGCTCCTGCCGCCCGTCATAGGTCTGCTCATTCCTCTACTCTCGCCCATCCTCCGGTCACCGCTCGCCTTATTCCTTCTCTCGCCATTCCTATTCTTGACATGCCTTGCACTGGCACTCGTCGCCGTTATACTTGTGGCACAAACACTCGATGCTCGGTCGTCCGTATGCGAGCGCTCCCAGGGTGCACTCAAGCAAGCAACTCGCACACTCGCGTTCGCCACACCCGCAGCATGGAGCGTCGTCCTTACGCGGGCATCGTGGCCCCCCACGCCTCTTCCGGCCCTTCTTCCAGACCAATTAGCACTCTCCGTACGACTCGACAATCTCCTCGACCTCGTTCTCTCCTCATTCGTCTGGCCGTGGTACCAACAACTCTCCCGCTCTGCAGCCTTTCCAGCGGCGATCAAATGTGCTCTGCATCACGCCATCGGTCTCATCCTCGACCGCGGGCAAGAGGTCGATCCGCTCTCCGTGGCAACTCAGCGTGTACTACCCAAACTCACCGCGCATATAAACCGCTTTCGGGCCGCCGAGACGCTGCTGAGGGGAGCCGACTTGTCACGCCACCTTACGCAATCCAGTAGCCTCGATCTGATGCTCGCACAGAAGTACGGCACGCTGCATCCTGCGGTGGGGAATATTAGCAGTGTTGACACGAGGCAGACTGAGGAGGCGCATCTTCGCAATATGATCGGGCGCGTCATGCCAAAGCTATTGCCGGAGAGCGAGGCGGCGAGCCCGGCTGTGAGCATCATCGTGCGAGAAATAGTGGCCTGCGTGGTGTTGCTGCCTTTGGTGGATATGCTGAGCGAGCCGGATTTCTGGAATCGTATTGCTGAGGATGTGGTATGCTAGGCTTCACTTTCTGTTTCTACCTCGCTGATTTATGTGCTACAGACGTCTGAAGTCATCCAACAGCAGCATCTCGTCTCCCGAGTGCGACATATTCTCAGCCTCTCCACCTCTCCCCCTGGTGCGTCCGTCTCCCTCAGTTCCCCGACTGCACAGGCACTGCAACCCATCCGACTTCGGATGGAAGACATCTCCCCGCGCACATCCGGGAAGCAGTTCGAGAGCTTCCTCCGTACCGTAGCTCGTTGCGATAGTCTTCTAGATGCCAGGAGGTTGAAGAACGATATCTCAAGCGAGATACGAAAGACCAGGGTATTGTTAGGTGAGCGCCATTCACACTCTGCGTGTCTGATAAACATCTGACATGCATATAGCTTCCAGCCAGACCAAGGAAGACGTTCTTGGAGGATACAAGCCTGAGCTAATAGTGAAATATCTCGATCGACTATACACAGCAAGCCGTGCTGTTGAAAAGCGTATCGGAGTGCTGTCTGGTGAACCGACCCTCCCTACGATACCCACAAGCTCTCTTGCGCCGGCATCACCGCCGCTGCGACTCAATGGCCCAATGCCCACCCTGAGGACTATTCTTACCACGCCGGAGAGCCTGAGCTATTTCATGGAGTTTCTTGATCGGCGTGGCAAGAGTCTTTCAGTGCAGTTTTGGCTCACTGTGGAAAGCTTCAAGGACCCCCTCGAGAACGTTGAATCGGACGGGAATGAGGAGACCGATGAGCCTGATGACAACGTGACTCTGCCGAATGGCGGGACTGGCACGCTCAGGGAGGACGTCCAGCTCATCTGGGACCTTTATTTCTCCGAAGCATCCGCACAGCGGCCGAAGGTGTCTCAAAAGAATATCGATGCCGTTCGTACATTCCTCAACAAAGAAGGCCCCGTTACTCGAGGCGATGAGCGCAAGGCTCGTCAAGCGGTTTTGAGAGCGCAGAGAGAGATGGAGCAAGAGATGGAAGGTGCCTTTGAGGAGTTCAAGCGTGGGGAACTTTGGCTCAAGGCTGTCGCTGCTGGTGGAAATGTCTCGACTTCTACATCACCTGGTTTACCGAGGGTACCAAGCCAGCCGGACCTACAGTCTCGCACGGAGGAAAGCAAGCGGAAAAGGCCACTTCCTCAGTACATTACTCACTCACAACCTGTAGTCTTGACAACGAAGACGGTGGTCCGTGGTCGAGTCGAGCCCGAAGCGCCAGCAAGGCCTCCATCCGTTCGGGCCGGCAGCGCAGACAGTAAGAGTTCTGCCCCCCAACGACACGCATCACGAGCAAGTATCGACAGTACTAAAACAAACCTGGATGCGCTCTTTGGTGCCGCACCAAAGGATCGTGCACCGTTATTTGGAGATGAGACGGAAGAGCGAGCAAGTCTGTTCGGCAAAGAAAACGGAGTTGAGGATGAGGGCGCGCCAGGTCAGGGCCCTGTGCGAGAAACTCCAATAGAAAGCCGAGCGCCACTGTTTGGCAATGCGCCAGAGGAGGGTTGGGAAGGAGAAAACGGAACTGCTGTGCCGGAAGGGGGCGTTGACATCGAAGCCATCCAGGCCGCTTTGACTGACATCATCGCGGATGAAAGCGACCATCGGCAAAGTGACGAACGATATGTTGATGAGCGAATATCAGGCTTAGCAGGGCTCGACTTGGAGCCTAATTCTGCTGTCCGGGAGAAAGAGGACGAAGAATGGAAACTCGCTATACCTGGAGATCCTCATTTGCTTAGCTCAATTGCCAGGCTTGCCGAGAAAGTCGCAAATCTTGAACAGCAATCTACGCTCCTCGATGCTCTCACCCGCAAAGCGGAATTGACTGGTGACAACAACGAGCTGAGGTTATTGAGCACCAGTAAAGCTGCATTGGAACGTGAGCTGCGAGAAGTGCGATTTCAAAGAGAACAATTTGTCATGCAAGAGCGCAATGGAATCCTGACTCCGGAACGTACACGAGTCAAGATTGTGGGTACAACCATGACCGATGAAGAAGGAGGCGTGGGTCGCCAAGTCGTCAAGTACGCGATTCAGGTTCAACAACTTGAGCAGGACGGTGCAGATGAAGGCGAAGGCAGCAGCAGTGGTTGGGTGACAGCCAGGCGATACAGTGAATTCTGGGCGCTTCAGCAAAGGCTGAAGGAAAAGTTCCCAGAAGTCAGACACCTGGAACTGCCAGCAAAGAAGCTAGTCAACACGATCAGTGCCGTTGTAGACGCAAGACGGATCGCTCTGGAGAAATATTTGCAGACATTGCTGACTTTCCCAACCGTTTGTGCATCCGAAGATCTACGGGCTTTCTTGTCACGGTCACCGAAGTATACTCCAACTTCGTCCATAATTTCCCAATACGCATCGCTTACGGGATCTTTTTTGTCACCATCTACGGACCTGATGCGATCGTTGACGCGGCTAACAACATCGATCGCAGACGATATAATATTCGGTCCCTCAATGCTTGATGTTCTTATACAGCGCCTTACACAGCAAGCGAAAACAGAGGAAGAACTCGTGAAGCTCACAGAAGCAGAAGGGTTACGACCGTTGGAGGGTGAAACTGGCGGTGCCACCTTCGCAGCGCCTATCTGTGATCTTATTCTCTCAGTATTCGAGCTGAACGACCGCAACAACTGGCTACGACGACAGGCTGTCGTCATTATCTTGCAACAAGTGCTGGGCAGCACTATTGAACGGTCAGTTATTGCGTCCCTGCTATATCGTTTGCCTGACAGGATGTAGGAAACTGCGGGACACACTGAAGGCTAGCCTGGAGGAACATAATATTGTTGCCTACTTCGATAAATTGCACAGGGTCGTCTTTCCTGGAGGGAAGTTCCGGACGTCTGGGCCGCCACGTACCGCAGAGGAGAAGGCGAGGACACGGGATGAAGCTAATCGGAAACTCAGCGCACTCATGCCAGGTATATATCTATTCGTCACCATTTGCATGCGCATTAACTGGCATTCGACAGACTTGTTCTCGAACATGATCGGCAGGTCAAATGCTCGGCGTGGTGCTCGCCGGATGTTTGCCGTTTTGCAGAATCAACGACTCAATCGACACATAATTTACACGGTGATGGACGAAGTAAGCCGAACCGAACCGTTCATTGGCTTGAAGCTGACTGTTATATAGGTTTTCTTTGCGCTCTTTCCTGATTTGATGATCGAGACATCATGATACCTTTTCACGCGTTACCATTCTTCCACGATATCCTACTTTGTGATCTTGCACCATGTTCCTGCCCGTGTTTGGAGGCGATTGTTGTAATGTATCAAAACGACCTAATGACTCAGCATGTGCCTCACGCATACATCACTTGAAGGTCTAGATAGTATACCGGCAAACATCTGGGCGTTTGTCTTGTGTATTAATACGAACTCTAGGGGTCTATCTTGAGCACATGGGCGAGTATATGCCCTTGACTTGCAAGGGGTTTTAAGATCGGGTTGCCTAGACAACGGCCACCGCCTAACCTTGGTCTCCAGGTAGTTTCACCACATGAGATTGACCATACATAGTCATCGATGGCTACCCTGTACCACAGAACCTGAGAATTTCTAGATTAATGCTACACGATACTAGTGCTGATAAGCACGTAATGACAGGCACGACATGACCAAAGTGGTCGCAATACACAGTGAGTACGATATTGGGAGCCATTCAAATAGGGACAGATACTACCTGAGAAGTCCTGGCAAATCAAACTGCTATCCCAAATTTAGCATCAATCAAGGACGCTTCCGAGTGCTCCGAATCGCGTTTTTCTGTGGGGTCATCCCACTCATCATTCTCCCAACCCGGTGGGGGATCACCATCTCCCTCCCAATCTGCCTCCTTCACGATCTCCACCCGCACACTCCCATGTGTGGCGGTAGCACTCGTGTTGCGGAGGATCGACTGCATCCGATTGACTCCAGCGGTACTGGCCAGAAGATCCTGTGATCGTGTGACAGGTGCGACTGACCAACTTCCTCGTGCAGCCCGCATTTCGAAGATATCGCCCGTATGATGGCTGGATGCCATCTTTTCAGGTGCTTGTCGTAGGTTGATTGACACTACAGGTATTTAGACAAGATGCGCAGAGACAATTTAACAACGTACTGCGCGAACCAATAATATTGGCTATGACGAGAACCCATTCTCTCAGCATAAGAACCAAATATGTCTGGGGTCAGGGTGAGCACATGAGTACAAATTTCAAAATTCTTACATCGGCAAACGCGAATACGAGAATGTTTGCGGCCAGAACGAATAATTTGCTCTAATGACCCGTAAATGGTCTAGCTGATCTGCAAGACGAGATGTGGCGTACTGCATTGTAAACAAAACCATCACGGTCTAACGAAGAGATTAACGCATGTCAAAGATAGCAATTTGTTGAACTTACAAAGTATGTAAGCAATCAAGGTTGTTTCATCAGACTTTACGTGGTGCCATGCCCGTGCCAATGTCATGGTCACGGTTACCCTTTGTCGAAACGTAAGTCAAGTGCAGACGTGGAGTTCTAGAACTCACAGCTCGTAGCACGCCGCGGGTAACCAGATGGAAAAAAACGAGCGTGGGATAGTGCCGAAGCAGATGTTAACAATGGGAATCGGTGTTACCGTTGGTACTGAGGGCGTATCGGTCAGCACAGATCGCTGTGGAGAAACAGCTCGCTACATACGAATTTCATGTAGCATGAGGTAGAGAGTGATCGCCAGGGTGGCGCCAACATATAGGCACCATGTAATACCTAATACCCATGCAACCCATTTTGCGCCGTAGTATAACCTGCACGGGAGGTTACTCTAGGCACCCGAAATGAAGTTGCGGACATACGCATGTACCCGGATGGCAACGATTACTGCAGATAATTAGAACATGGTCTATGGCAAGGGAAACGGGACATTGAAACTCACGATTGACAACTGCGAGGCTGACGATGATGATGAGAGCTGGTTTTCGTTATGAGACTGGGACGAGTGAAGCATTGCGAGTTATGAACATACCGTTTGTAAGTGTCCAGACTTTACAACTAGCTCCCATTCAGCATCTGTGGAACTCCAATGCAAAAAAACAAGGGTTGTAAACGTACAACTATCAGCCAAGCGTCAGAAAGGGGCCCAAGTTAACAAGATCATTTGAACTCACTTTGACCGAAAGATTTGTTGCTAGTCCCCCAAGCTCTGTATCGAACGTCAACTCTTTCCCTCCCGGAAACATCCCCAATCCTACATACCATATAGATCTAGTGATGACTGTGAGGCAAGAATGGAAACATCTGAACGTGATAACGCACCAATTGCGACTATACAAGGAACGACATATCGATTAAACAAAAAGAGACTCTTTCCGAGGGAGCGTTCGGAGGGCCAGATGTATCTGACCTGCGTTTCTGATGAGCTTATCGATGTCCCAGTCTAAACCCTGAGCAAAGTACCTCAGCGGGGAATGTGAGCACTAAAGCAGAGTGCGGGGAAAGCAATCAGACGCGAACAACGCGCGAATAACAATAACATACGATGCTGGATGAATGTTAGCCATGCGGTTCAGGTAAGCAGAGGAAGGGCAAGGGCTCACATCATACACAAGCAGCGCAGCGCTCGCGACTAGCCGGCAGATGAGCATATGATTTCTGAAACAGCGGCGCAAGGGTGCTCACTGAGAAAAGACCGCACTAATTGCACATCCCTGAACTCCTGGGCCAACTGGTCGAGTATTCCACTCATTGCGATGAAGGCGGGGGACGGTGTTTAGAGGGGAGGCGACAAGAGGGAGCCAGCCATAGGCGCCTTGCGGGGTACGAGAGACGGCGGTGACGGTGGGGAACACGACAGTGGGAGTGAGAAAAAGGGTGGTCACAAATGCTCGCAACTCCTTTTAATGGATGACCCCATGGAGGGCCAAAGGGCGGAAGGAAGGCAGAAAATGATGAACCTGCCCAGAGGTGCCGACGTTCGCATGTGCAAGGATGGGGCGCGCGTTGCTTCTCGTGCTGCAGCATTGAAAATTTGAGACAGCCTTCTTACCCATGCCCAGTTCACCCGGGCCCTCGCGGGTTAGCGAGATATGATCTTAAAGCGCATCAAAATCGGGCCTAACTCCACGTTCCAGTGGCTGTTAAGGAACGGTGCCGGCCAGGAATGTACCTTCGTATCGCTTTGTTTTGACAGGACGAGACCCTTGAGAGGACCAGATGTCCACAAGAGATCTTCCACAGATACAACAATGCATTTCGAGAGCCACCGAATGGTCCTGGCCAGAGGAGGGTTTTCGTAGCCCCACATGCGCATGCTCGTTCCGGAAGCTCGGCAACTGAATAGCCGGATGCATTCCAGGCCAATTACGTAATACGTCGCCCAGGCAGAGTTGCGAGGGTCCGGGGCAGAACTCGCATGTAAACGCTTAAAGTAACAACGTTACAGTAACAGGAACAGGGTGCAAATTGTTTTTCGCTCGAGGAATTAGTCGGCAGGTCATATGGCCCTTATTGGACAGAATGGTGTTGTGCTGGTAGTGCGAATTTAATGTCAGTACAATAGCGCGAGGCGATGTGATTTGTAAGGCGAAAATCTGGTGGTGCAGCGTGGCGCATTAGCTCCGAAAAAAGGCACATAGCAAAACGCACCTATTCTGTTAAGAAATCTACTCTATCTGTTGTCATCAGACTGGAGGAAGACGTGCTGGGGTCGATATTGAACGTGACAAGTCGCCCAACGCGATTGATGGCGAGGCTGAACCCCAAATATCCGGGTTCATAGATATGCCGTAAGCAGGGTAAATCATCGGCCCACTTATCCACAATCCTGGCGGAGAGCGTGGTCATGACGATCAACTCCGGCGGGTAGTTATCGTATCGTCAAGGTGGGTCATCCAAGTGGTGAAAGCAGGACAGGTGAAAATGAGAATGTGTCATTCTGACAGATGTTGCCACCATTGTTCTGTAGATGCAAGGGAATAAGATGATGATGATAACATTCCAATCGACCTTTCTGAAGACAATGATCTTTTCGCATCTTCTGCAGAAGGCTAGACAGGATCTTGATGGAATGCTGGCCCCACTCAAAGCAAGGATGTCCGTGATCCACCGGTAAGCAAGTATGCTATAATCGTTGATGACTAGAAACGCCCTAAACGATCCCTTTCTGTCAAGCCCAGAGAGGGTCCGTCTCTTTATTCAAGCAAAGTTCAGGTCACCAGACAAGCAGGACGTTCCGCGATCCCGTTGGTCTACAGCATGATAGGTGGGCCGGTCGTCAAGGTCTAGAAATGGCCATAGTTACGCGCCCAGCTGGCAGGAAGAACGCGAGATGTTGCCAAAAGGAGTAAGATATCATTGGGCCGCAGTGAACGCGGCAAAACACCGAGAAGCTTGCGGGGCGGCAGGGGCCGGAGGGCATATGGTTGTCGAGAAGCTGTTGCGGAGCGATGTGATTCTCCAGGGTGGATTTGTATGCGTTCGATATTGCTGTAATGGAGTGGCAGGACCGTGTGAACAATTGCCTTCTCAGTCAAAAGCTGAATGAATAGCAATAAAAACCGGTCGGGCCGCTTGAGGGACCGAGTATGCCTCCGTTATGATGCAGAACACGTGATCAACTTGGAGCGCGCCGCTCGACGCGTCCTGCTCGACCCTTTTCACGCAGAGCCACTTCTTCATTCAGCGGCACATCCAGGCGCCCATCATTCACACGATCTGACAATACGACCCGACAGCCTTCTCTTGCACTCTAATTACAACAAGCAAACACTGTCGACATGGAGGAGGATCCCATAGCGGATCTGCGGTATATTCTTGAGGAGCTTACACAAGGAGAAGAGGAGACATGGTTCGCCAACTTGGCAGCCGTCGAGGAAGAACGTAATTCCTTATTGAAGCGCGTCCAACGCTCCGATGCCGAAGTAATTTATCTACGAAAAGCTCTGGTTGCAGCTCAAGAACACGTGGAACTACTGCGTTCGGAACGACCAACGCCGTCTGAGAACGACGAGAACTACGAGAACGACCGAGAGACCGCTGCTGTTGAGCGTTCACGAATCTCGGAGGATCTCGCTCGCCTAGGAAAGAGCATACGACATAAAGAGGGGTCAGTATCTCTGGTCTTGGGGGAAGAGCAGGATATTGACACCCTTCTCAGGGAAGTGTTGAAAGAGATACAACGGGTGGCAAGCTCAAGTAAACAACGGACACCACCTACCGCGTCCACGTCTGCATCGGTACTGCCTCCTATAGCCAGCCCAGAGATAAATTTCCGCGAATCAATCGGTCCTTCATCAAGTTGGGTGGATCCGGACGCATATGTTCAAACGATTGCGCCTCTGCTCGATGCGGTCGACCGTCTACGTGCAGAACGCGACGACCTTCGCCGTTCCCTAGATTTCGCACGCACCGAATATCGTTTCACGGTTGCGGATCTCGAAGAGCGATTGACACAGATGGCTGAGAAGGTTAAAGCCGTCGATAGTCAAACGAGTGGGGCGGAACTGCAGAGCCTCAGGCAGGAGCTTGAAGTTCAAAGGCGGAGAGCGGACGAAGCTGAGGCTCTGGAGCGCCGACTCGACATTCAGAAGCAAGAACTATCTCAGGCCGAAGCCACAATAGCTCGCTTGCAAACAGCCGTTGCGAATAGCTTGACTCAGCCCTCCACCAACGCCGAAGGCGACGCGGCTGCTCTTCGGGCAGCGCTGTCACATGCTGTCGGTGATGCACAGATCATTTCCGACCAGCTCGCAGCGTGCGAAACCAGATTGGCAACAAGACAAGAGATGATCGAAGCGCTGCAAGAGGAGCTGGAAGAGATTGGTAAACAACGAGATGCCCTTGGATCAGAAGTTGAGTCCCTGCAAGCCTCACTCGCCAGAGCAGCTTCAACTGTCGGGAACGAGGTGCTGAAGAACGAGCATCGATCGCTCAAACTTGAGATGCAAGCGCTAGAGGCTGCTCTTCTGAAAGCAGAGAAGGCAGCAAAGACCGCACAACATACCGTAGATTCTCTCCGCGCGGAGACCGCTGCCTCCAACTCTGGCGACACCGATGAGACTGTTCGCTTACTGCGGGCTCAGAGGGACGACCTTCAGAAGAAAGTTGTGGAGCGCGACAACCTCGTGCACGAAGTGCGCAAGGAGATCATGCGCGTGGACACGAACCTCAAGATGGCGGAGATGCGGATTGAGCGGCTTGGCAAGGAGGCTACCCAGCATCAAGCAAGGAAGGAAGAGCTGAAGAAGCAGATTGTGGAGCTTGAGGCTGAGCGAACGGAACGGATAGATACGATCTTCACTCTGGAAGCGGAGAAGCTTGAGCTTCAAAATGCTCTGAACACTCGGGCGACATCGCAGCAGGGTATTGCCGGCGATTACGCCGCACTGTTGGAAGAGAAGGAAGCATCCGATGCCATGCAGGAGACGCTGCAAGCACGCATCGATTCACTCCACCAGATCATCTCTGAGTTCCAAGCTTCAGAAGAGAGCCTCAAAGCAGAGCATCAGGATCTCACAGAACGGTTGCGAATCATGGAATCTGCGCCTGTTGAAGTTCCATCAAACGATGAACTCGTCCCTACCATTGCCGCTCTCTTTGCCGCTGTGCACCAGAAACGCGTACACCAATCAAGGAACGAACGACTTGATGCCGAAATTACCGCCCTTCGATCCTCGTTAGGCTCGAAATCCCACGATCTTCAGATCGCCATCGCGACCATCGAAGCCACCACCGTTGAACGTGCTGCAGTCCAGGCAGAGCTCGTCTCTCTTAAAGAACAGCAGTCTCAATCAGCCACGGCACTTGTTGCCAGCCAAGCCAAGGTACAGAAACTTTCCGAGGAACTGTCCACAGCGCGCACGGAGGTTGAGATCATGCTGGAGCGCGTTTCCAAGGTTCAGTCATCCACGAACATGCGTTCCGAGGAAGCACAGGAAAAACTCGAGCTATTGGAGAAGACTAGTCAAGAACTGCAAGCTCGCCTGACAGCCGCTGAAGAAGAGCTCCAAGCGGCTGTGGAAGTTCGTAAGCAGCTTGAGGAGGAGCGGGAACGCCTCCGAGCAGACTTGCGTGAGCTTGACGCAACTCTCATCAGCGCACAGCAGGAAGCAGCCGAAAGCAAGATTCACGAAGCCTTTGTGGGTGCTCTCCAAATTCAGCTGGAGGAACGGGAGAAGGAACTTGCCACAGTGCGTGAAAGCAACGCTGCCGAGCTGGCTTCGGAGCGTGAGGCGGCGAATGCTCAGACGCAGGAGCTCACCGATACAGTTGCCGCACTTGAAAGCACGATTACTGCGCTCGAATCCAAGACGGCGGATCTCGAGACCTTCCGCCAGAAAGCAGGAGAGTTCGACGGACTCAACCAACAGATGAAGATCAACCATCAAGCTCATATGGAGGAGACGAAGAGTTTGAGGGAAGAGCTTGTGGCCGCTGGAGACCGCGCAACTGCAGAGATGAGTAGAGCAGAGCAGCTTGAACGCCAACTTGTGAACGACGCCCAGGCTGCCAAGCAGGCACAGCAAGAATTGCAGTCGCAACTGCATGAATTGGAGCAACGCGTGAAAGATGAACAGGCTCTTAATGCTCAACTCACGGCGGACCTCACATCGGCCAAGGAGAGCGCGTCGCAGCAGGAACGTGCAAGCGTATCTCTGCAATTTGATACTGCATCTGCTCAAAGCGACCTCAAGAGGGAGCAGGCTGCGAGAGTAAAGTTGCAGGACCAGATTGATCAAAGGTATGCCACTCCATCCCCCAGGTTCATTCTCTTACATTGTTACAGCATGAATGAGATCACCCGTCTGCAGGCGGAAGTCAAGCTTCTTCGTGACAGCCTCGCGCATGCGCAGGACGTGGCTGTTGAGGCCGAGCAGAAGCTTGCCGAGGCCGAATCGCGAACAGCACACGCCAAGTCCTCCGCGCAACTTGTCGAACTCAACTCTCGAATCGAAGACCTGGAGGCACAGTTGCGGAAGAAATCCACAGAGGTCGAAGAGGCAGACGACAAGATGATCGTGGTGTACAAAGAAAAGAAGAAATTGGAAATGAGGGTTGACACGCTCAACAAGAAGCTCACGAGCTTGCAGGCTAAGCTGGTAGCTGCGAAAGATGCTCCCCCGGCTGCAGCAGTCGCGAGCAAAACACCAGCTACCAAGGCGCCTATGCCACGGACGGTATCAGCAAGCTCTGATCCATCAGGCCGCAAGAGCCCGGCAAAGGCATCAGCTACCTTCCCATCCACATCGGGGCCTCGTTCCTTCAACCGCACCACCTCTGTTCCGACCAACATCTTTGGCAATTCTACCGATCCGGTGCCTCCACCACCCGCCGCTAGCACGGAGCAGAACACAAGGACGCTCGCTCCCATCCCTGCACAGATCTCCCCCATCCGACCACTACGAGTCCATCCCAAGCACGTCGACGACCTTGCGCCTAGCCATATCATTGGCCAGAAACGCCCACTCCCGATTGAGTTCACCGAGCCCATCATCGATAAGGAATATGTTCCCGCTCCTGCGCCGACGCCCAAGAGCCCAGCTAGTACGCTACGCAAGTTGAGCAAGAATCGGACTGGCTTCACCCCCGTTCGCAGCCCAGCGAAGCGGACTGTGAGCGATATCACCAACCTTGGTGCGAGTCCTGCACCTTTGGCAATGAAGCCACGGGTAGTGTCCAAGCCGCTTTCAGATATGGGGGATTATAGAGCACCTTTGTTGTCGAGTGGAAGGATGATGAGCAGCACGAGCGAGGGGTTGTTCAACCAGATTACGCAATCTCTGAAGCAGCATTAGTTTGAGCAGTTGATTCGCTTTTCTGATATTTGCATATTCACTCACTTACGCACATCATGACATTTATTTTCCTGGTTCTGTATAAGGACCTGTTGTGGGAATGTATATAGCTTTGTAGCCATATTGCCTTGATTTGTACGATTTTCAGCGTAGTCATGCATATTTCTCTCCTTCACTAATTGTGGACATCGACGCAACAAGCGCCCAAGGAAACGCGTCGGAAATTTGTCCATTCAACGACGGCGACACTTCATTTATTCTCTCCATGCCGTCTCAACCGATATGCGCTGACTGAACCTATCCTGATAGCTTTATAAATGCCCTCATTTAACATATCAGTACCTGGCATGTCCTCTAGTTCAACAAATACCGCTGCGCCGGTATTGCAAGATGAGCAGGTGTATGGCCTGTCCCAAGCGTCCACGAGTACGGCAACCCCGCCTCCCAGCGGGCAGAAGCGTTCTACTTTGGAGAGTATTATGTCTAAGTAATTCGTATATTTGTCCAAAAGGACGTGAGCTGACGTTAGGGTCAGTCCCATTTTCTCGGCTGGTTTTGCGCTCATAGTATGTGCACACCGCCTTGCGTTGGGCTATTGCTAACACCACCTAAAGGGTGTCGGCACTGGCCTCGCCCTACTCCGACGTGGGATGCTCTCGGCCGACACGCTCGTCCGCCGGCGTCTGCTAACAACGCTCGAGATCCCCTCGACCGACCTCTCCCACCCTTGGGTACTCTCCTGGCTCTCCCGTCAGTCGTCGCCTTTCTCCGGCCGAGGGCGAGGGTTCCGCTCTCACCAGCTAAGCGTGAACACTAGTGTGAATAAGCGGGAGAGTGGGGTGACGGATGTCGAGTTTAAGCAGGTGCCGGGGGAGGGCACACATTGGATTAGGTATAGAGGTGCGTGGATGCAGGTATGTTGCCTGCTTATTCTCTCTTCGCTGAGCTTACGGACAACGCACTGTTCCTATTGGTTAGGTAAGGAGAGAGCGGAATGAGAGGATGATCGACGTAAAGTCCGGTACGCCCTGGGAGAAAGTCTCCCTCACAACGCTCTCCCGCGACCGGGCGTTATTCGATATCATCCTCCAAGAGGCGTACGACCTTGGGTCTAAGGCGATCGAGAACAAGACGATGATATACAGCGCCTGGGGCGCAGAGTGGAGGCCGCTTGGGCCACCGAGGAGGAAGAGAGAGCTGGATAGTGTCGTCCTTGCTCATGGGGTTAAGGAGCGGATTGTGGAGGATATAAGGACGTTCATGGGACGGGAAACGTGGTATGCTGATAGAGGTACGCCGTCACCTGTAATTCTCGTGGTTGTGCTATGACTTGCTTACTGTTCTACAGGAATTCCCTACCGAAGAGGTTATCTGCTCTCAGGCCCGCCAGGCTCTGGCAAGTCATCCTTCGTCCAAGCTTTAGCCGGGTCACTATCCATGGACATCTGTATCCTCAACCTGTCCGAGCGAGGACAAACAGACGACAAGCTTAGCCACCTCCTGATCAACGCCCCTCCGCGCAGTATCATCCTCTTGGAAGATATAGACGCGGCATTCAATCACCGAGTGCAGACCTCGGCCGATGGGTAGGACTTTCTCTCCAGAACTGCTGGTTCGCAGCTGACTGAACGACTAGATACCAATCCGCTATCACCTTCTCCGGCCTGCTCAACGCCCTAGACGGCGTAGGCGCAGCCGAGTCGCGCATAGTGTTCATGACGACCAACCATCCGCAAAAGCTTGACGCTGCGCTTATCCGGCCCGGGAGGGTAGACATGCACGAGACGCTAGACGACGCTACCCCCGCCCAGGCGAAGGAGATGTTTGAACGGTTTTATGCTGGTCAGGAGGGGGTGGAAGAGGGGGCAGGGAGGTTGGGGGAGATGGTTAGGGACAGGAATGTTAGTATGGCCGCGCTGCAGGGGCTGTTTATCGTGTCTGCTGAAGGTCCGGACATGGCGCTAAAGTTGCTGAAGGCGATGCTGGAGCAGGAGCGCGTCCCAATCTAACACGGTCGGCTCGTACCCATTGCAACGTGCAGGAAATACTGGAGAAGGTGGGGATGAGCGTGTATCTCCAACCTAGGCAAAAAGCAGCGTTGGCCCTCAAGCAAGGATATAATCTCCATGTTCAGAATTCCCCACAGCTTCGTCAGCTATGTTACACCACTCACAATGCCACAATGTCAAGAGAGCACTCCTAAGATGAAGGAAATCAAGGGAAAGATGCCTTGCTATGCGCTGGAGACTGCCACAAGCATCGTCCTATCTTCCCATGCCATCTCCTGCTTCAACGCTCCCGTTAAGATCAGCTCCTGCGAATAGACTCTCGTGCCCTCCTCAGCAGTAGCAAGTGGCTTCCAATACTTCTCGTCCTCCACACAAGAGATGATGTGCTGGTTGTCTTCTAGTTCCTTCGTCAGCGGCTGCTGCACCTTCTGCACCTTGCCTCCGCATGCTTCGATGATCTTCTTCAGTGACTGGAAATCGACTTTGACAGTAGGCGTGATATGGAATTTGTGACCCTGCATGAGCGGCTTCTTGGCGGCCCGGGCGAGCGCGTCTGATAGTTTGAAATCGTAGTCGTGCTCCTTGGCGGTATCCTTGACAGCATATTCCCTCTCAGCTGCATGATGAACCGTCAGGTTTGAGTTGGTTCTCATCAACGAGTTCACTCACGTAACAGACGCTCTGCCTCAATGGACTTGGTGACCCAATCTTTCGTAACGATCTTCGGAGCGTTCGCCATCGCCACGAGGAACTTCTCAGTTCTCGAGATGCCTTTCGCGATAACATGCGTACATTCCCTGGCATCCGAAACCATGATGACACCGAGCGCCTCAAGAGCCTACTAAGGTGTCAGCATCGTGCGGAGAACAGTGGGTGGATACCGACCCTTTGTTCTGCTGAAGTAAGATTTATCTGGGTGGCAATTGCCTTCACTTGTTTGGCCGGAGGCGTTTCGGCTTTCTTTGTGCTTTTCGCATTGGCATTCGCCTTCGGTGCCGTAGGCTTCTTCGGGTGTTGAACGTGCACCACTTCTTCGCTTTCAGCGTCATCGTCACTCACAACAGCACGTTTCTTTCTGGGAGGCCCCACTTTAACCCCTTCCTTGAGCGGCTTCTTTGCTACAGGTGTATTCTCTCTCGCTTCTCTGCTCCCCCTTCCGCGTTTGTGCTCAACCTCTTTAGGATGCATGGGAGGGCGTTCATCGGCACTGTCATCGGTGGTGAGTGTTACAACTTCTGGTGCCGGAACTTTGATCCGACCCAAGTCATTCAAGTGGTGCCCGTGCCGCATCTCTTTCGAGAACTTGTTCGCATCTTCCATCGCAATATGTAGCGATTTCTCAGCAGCAACAGCGGCACTTCGTCGTGGCCGATTGTCCCAGGAAGTGCTCGCGATTGCACTTGACGAAGGACCATCGGAAGCTAGAAGTTCGACCCCGCTCGCAGGAGAAGAGGGACGCTTGCCTTTCCGCTGTTTTGGGGGAGGTACACGGCCGCGAGAAGGTCCAGGAGCGTCAGACATATCTTCATCTTCTGTCAGGGCCGAGCTTGGAAGGGGTTTCGCAACGGTTCGGGAAGTTGAAATAACTCTTTTTGATGGAGCTTTTCTTGTGGCTTTGGTTTCCAGCCCTTCCATAGGATCATCTGGTAGTTCGGAGTCCGACGTGGGAGATGGCATGCGTAAGGTGCGGGAAAGTGGCCTCGGCTTGGGCCGCGTTGAAGAAGATTTGAGCGAAGGCTTCTGGACTTGGCCCTTCTCAGAATCGGAGGATATCTCAACCACTGGTGTATTCGCAGGTGCCTGGGAGTTGATTTTGGTCCTCTTCGTTGGTGGCTCACTCTTGTCAGGACTCGAGACGGCTTGCCGCTTCGAACTGGGGGGCGTGTCTTCAGGGCGCATAGGGCTACTCGTCGCAGGCACTATGCGGCCGGTGGGCATCTCAGGATGAAACAGAGGAGTCTTCGACAATGGCCTAGCTGTTCTGTGTGTCGGCGTGGCAGCGTTATCTGTACCGACCATTTCGTCAACTTCGTCTTCCTCTTCGGGTTGTGGCGCTGTACCTCCCACAAGTGCGTCGGCGTCTGTGGCATGATGCCTTCCGTTCAGCTTGCGGGTTGGTGTCGACTGCGCGGAATTGTGCTGTGCGGATTTGCGAGACTTCTGAGGGGAAACTTCGGCTTCTGTTTCGCTTTCTGATTCGGCTTGCTCTTCCTTTGGGATGTTGACAGTGATCTCTCGCTTCGCTCCCAGAATCGCACTCCACTCAATATTCCGCATAGCATACTTGTTTCCACTGACAGGAGATTCCTTCCAATCCACAAAACAGTCTTCCAGCCAAAGGTGGTTAACAACAGGGATTTTCCATTCTTCTGCTCGCTCAATCTTTGCGCTGACTTTCTCGTTAGGCGGGCAATAGCCAGCGATGACGTGAGTCGTCGAGCCAGACATTGTTGGAGTGAATTTCGCCCCAAGCGCCTCAATCAGCAGCTTGACGTAGTCCCGTGCAGGCCCGGTATAGTTAGTCACAGTCATTTCCTGCCAGAAGGGTAAACCTCTGTCCCGGAGAACGCTACGACACGTACATAGGTGGCAAAATTGCCGCAAGGTCCCTTTGGATGAGGAAAATGCATGAGCTGTTCCCGCGGATTTGATAGCCGACCGTCCCGGAGAGCATAAACGAGCCATTCTAGGGTGCCAACAGTTTTCTTCCTCTTGAACGCCTAGTATCACGAACATCAGCGATGTTCAACACGTGTGCCATCTATGTGCCCACAGAATAGAATTCATGTCCGTCCTGGAGTGCCGTAACGAGAATGTCAGCCTTCGATACGCTCTCGGCGATGACCCCTCCGGCATCGCGTATTCGTGATTCAAATGCTTCGCGTCTTTGCGAGGTCAGCCGCAGACTATCCGAGAGCAGCACGCGCTGGTTCCCGAACATATCCTTCTGCTTCGCGCGGATCTGAATAATCCATCAGCACACGTCAAATCCGCTGGCACGGCGTGCTGACCTTGGACATATCTTGGTCCGCCTTTGCGTACTGTATGCTCTTATACAGCTGTGACTGATTCTCGTCGTACTTCCAGGGTTCTGGAATCTGGCTTCCGCCAGGTTTCATCAGCGGAGGGTCGGGGAACTCGTACATCCGAGTAGGGACAAGATGTGCGGCCTTGAACGAGTCGTCGAACCAATGGGGTAGAACCACTTTCATTCCCGTCCGGTGCTGGTGCTTCATGGCAATGTTATACTTCTCCTGCGTTTGGGTTAGGCAGCGTCTATCGGGTATGACGGCAACCACTCACTCCGTTTGGCGAGAGCACGAACAGATGCGTCACCTCTTTCGTCAGTGGTCCACGCCATTGACCACCCAGTCCAACGATGCCCGCTTGTATCACTTCAACATCTCGTGCAGGAAGCTGTGTAAATTCTATCAGAATGGACGCATATATGACTCAAATGAGTGCTCACATCTGACGCGCATCCCACGATGCCAGAGAAGAGCATCTTCGGATCCGGGGAATAGAAGCGTTCCTCCTGCCTAATTCCTAGCGCCATACATCGTGTGACCCACGCAGGAGTAACAAGATGTATTCGTTTTCCGTCTGTCTCCATATCGATGCCAACCTCGAGGCTATCTGTGATGATGTGGGTTGCCTCCCTCTCGACTTCTGCTTCGGTCGCGCCGTTCGCGTCCAACGCCGCCATTAGCTTTTCCACATCCTCTTTCTTTATCGAGCGATGAATAGTAAATTTGACATCCTGGAATAAGAAGCTCTCCATCGTGAAAGACGGGAAAAGAGAAAGGAAATTAGGTATATGAGATGGCCACGCTGCACTGATTGATGACGAGGTCAACCAGTCAGAAGGATCAGGGTCGCGTGCCTCACCGGAGGCGAGTGCTCGGAGGCACGCGTCGCGACGCGTCTTCTTTCGCATTACAGTAAACAATCCGTTGGTATGTGGCCATCATCACTTATGTTTGCCTGTCTGGAAAAATGTGACCTCTTGGGATACTGGATTTTCGTCTCTGAACTTCTGACCTGGTTGTCTGTCATCTTACAATGGTGGCCTGAAACCTTGGCTCTATTTGATGCACTGCTAAAAGTCAATCGCCCATGTGGTGGTATCTCTGCTGATGGTCATGTACTTGACCACCTAGGCTAGGGTTGGCCCTTTGAAGACTTGATTCGATGTGCTTTTCTATTGAGTATCAGCGAACATAACGCGGGTGTTGTGTATAACGTCGAACATGGCATGGACATTAACGCCGATGTCAATAACGCCGATGCCCTCATCTCTCATTCTCGCAGTTTCATTCCCCCGAGTCAAGTTGGTCTACGTCATAACCACCTCTGGCGGCTGAAAAGTAGAGCGACGTCAATCATCTGCTCTCCGTGGCTGTAAAAGTTTGACCTCTTCAAGTTGGAGCTCGGTGTGGTTCAGCACCACCGTATTCTTCAGTTCGCCGTTGGAGATCTCGACTTTGGCTCATGTCACCTTCCTGAGGGAAGTACATATCCTATCGGTGATGCTCGATGACGGTCACAGTGCGCACGCTCTTGACTCCACAAGGCGTACCTATACATAGCTTGCTTAATCATACGGTTCCCTAGATTATACATTTGAACGCGCTGGATACGTTCTCTCTCTCCATCTGTCAACAACCCTCAAAGTTCAATCTTGAATCACCCCTAAACTTCCCTAGACGAGCAACGAGCGACAATGTCAGACCCCACCAGCCGTCCAGAGCGTACCTCGCCTAACTACGACCTATACCAACGTGAGATCTTCAAGGATGGGTCGTACGGCACACTGCCCTCATTCAGCACTGTGAGCGCCAACTTTCATTCCCCCATCCTTACGTCTCCTCTTCCGGTCTCCTCTCTCTGACTCTCCCCATCTTAGGATCCCGACCAACTCGAAGCCGTAGCCGCGTCCAAACTCTCCGAACGCGGTCGCCTGTACGCCCTGTCCAACGCCGGTCTTTCCCTCACCGCCCGCACCAACCGCGCCGCCTTCGCGGCATACCAGATCATCCCACGTATGCTACGTCCCACCCTCGAGCGAGACATCAGCACCACTCTCTTTGGTCACCATATTCCCGCTCCTATTGGGTTTGCCCCGGTGGGGGTGAACGAGATCTACAATCCGGAGGGAGAGCTGGCGGTCGCGAGCGTGGCTGGAGAGCTGGGATTGCCGTATTGTTTGAGTACAGCTAGCAGCCGGAGTGTGGAGCGCGTGGCGGAGGCGAACGACGCTGGTGCGAAGGCGGCAGGGAGGGCAGAGGGAGGGCCGAGATTCTTCCAGCTGTATTTGCCGCACAATTGGGAGCTGGCGGAGAGCTTGTTGAAGAGGTGAGCGCTGGTGGGTTTGTACGCACCGGACGCTGATAGAATGCAGGGCGTGGGACAACGGGTTCGACGTGTGTATCATGACGCTGGACACGGACCATCTAGCGTGGCGACACGGGGATGTAGCGCAAGCCAACTACACGTTAACTCCGTTTTTCCTGCACAGAAGCACTGTTTCTGATTTTGGCCAGGTTCTATTACGGACAAGGGAACGAGATGGGCTGGACCGATCCCGTGTTTCACAAGTACCTCGAGGAGAAGGGGATAGACGTAAGTTCCATCCTTTCTCTTCCTCACGTCGGAAACTCATGTACGCTCAGCCAAAGAAAGACCCCAAAACAGCCGGACGAGCTTGGATTGACACTGTATGGCATGGGAAGGCGCATTCGTGGGATGACCTGCCAAGAGTGATCAAGTTATGGAAGGACATCTCGGGTGGGAAGCCGTTTGTGCTAAAGGGTACGTTCGGGCCATGCACACTCCCCTAGATAGAACACCACTTGTTTGTTCCGGGTGCTGAAAGATGCAGACAGGCATCCAGTGCGTAGAAGACGCCCTCCTCGCTAACCGCAACGGCTGCGACGGGATCATTGTCTCCAACCACGCCGGGCGACAAGTCGACGGAGCCGTCGCATCCCTAGAGATGCTGCCCGAGATCGTGGATGCCGTAGGTGGGGATATGACGGTGATGTTCGACTCTGGCGTGCGGACGGGGGCGGACGTCTTCAAGGCGCTTGCCTTGGGGGCGAAGGCGGTCTTTATCGGGAGGTGCGTGTGCTGTGTGCGTCTGATTATCGACATAGCTCACGTCCCCCATCTGAAGATTATGGATCTATGGCCTGGCGATTCAAGGTGCTCCTGGTGTGAGGCATGTGACGAAGTCCCTCTTGGCGGACTTTGACAGTCTGATGGATCTTGCTGGGTACAGGAGTTTGGGGGAAGTGAGTCGAGCGGCACTGAAGATACGAGATATAGCGAGGTTGTAGATAGTTTCCAGCGGAAAATATCAATGTTTGACTAGACAGCACATCCATAAAGTACTTGAAGAGGTGACAATCGTCCGCCGCGATGTATTATTCGGAGATAGACTAACTCCGACGACCTTTCGAATTTCCTCCGTTTATTTTGTCCAAATTCGCTCTGCTGCTCATCGTCTTCGAAGCCTTGCTCGCCGTCCTCAGCGTCGTCCTCGCTGACCTCCTCCTTCTCCATTCTTTCCCAACAGGGAGGAGGACCATCAGCCATGCTCAGCACAGCACGATTATCCCTATTCAGCGGCGCACGCCCATCATGTTCCCGCTCTCTCTCCACCACCTCTCTGTGCTCAGCTGCAGTGGCCGTCGCACCCACACGCATAACCGCATCGATGAAGCAACTTCTTCCTCCCAAAAAATCGCCATTCGTACGCATTGACGGCCCTTACAAAGTGTACAAGCCCCTGACACCGAGTATCCGCCATCGCCGGGACGTGTACAACCCGCACTTGTACACCGGCGCGCCTATCCGCGTGCTCACGGTAGCGAAGCGCAAGACCGGAGGGCGCAACAAAGCTGGCAGAATTACGGTGCGGTCTGTTGGTGGAGGAGCGAGACAGAGGATCAGGATCGTCGACTTCAAAAGGAGCGAACCTGGGAAATGCGACGTGATACGGATCGAGTTCGACCCCCGCCGTTCGGCACATATCGCTCTCATCCGACAACGTAACCCTAAAGCGAAGCAGGTTTTTTCGTACATCCTTGCGCCAGATGGGATACGCGCGGGGGACGTGGTGGAGAGCTTTAGGTATGGGATACCCGATGGATTCGTGGAGGGATTTATTGATGAGAGGAAGAGTATTCCCCCACCAAAGGAAGATAAAGGGAGAAATCGAGGGGAGAAGCACACGGCTCCGGCGGTTGTGGAGGAGCCATCATTATCCAAGCCAAAAGAGCCGGAATACGACGAGGACAGCGTGGCGGAGCTGGAGGCGGAACTGGCCGCGTTAGAAGCCGCGGCTGAACAGGAAGCACTGGAGGCGCAGGCACTCAAGGCAGAACACGAGGTAGAAGAAGGCGGTGCACTTCCCCCTGTAGAAGAACTGGAAGAGAGCATCGAGGCCGAAGACGGCGCCGGCACGGAAGGCGAGTTCCTTCCCGATCCAGCTGCTGCCCTTGACAGGACCCCACCGCAAGGAGCTATCGATGCCCAGCCAGACTTTCAGCAGCCTGCCCAGCCTGTGAGTCGTCTCAACCCCGCCGTGCAAGCTAAGATGGCCGAGCACGTTCGTGGCGCAACAGCGACGACTTCTCAGCTCGCGCTCGGTGTGCTCCGCATGACCACTATCAAGCCTGGCAACGTCCTCCCTCTGCGACTCATTCCCCGCGGAGTGCAGATCCACAACATCTCTCTTCACCCCTACGGCCCTATGAAACTCGTGCGAAGTGCGGGCAGCTATGGAGAAGTGGTCGTCCATGAGCCGGATGGGAAGTATTCACATGTGCGACTGCAGAGCGGGGAGGTGAGGAAGATCGGACAAGAGTGCTGTGCCACTATTGGAAAGGTCAGCAACGAGCATTGGAAAGGGAGGATGCTTGGCAAGGCGGGGAGGAGCAGGAGGCTCGGTATAAGACCTCACGTCCGTGGTGTGGCCATGAACGCGTATGTCCTCATCCTCATTATCTTCAACTTGTGCTAATGACATTGCAGTGTCGACCATCCCCACGGAGGAGGACGTGGGAAATCGAAGGGTAACAAGCACCCACGCTCTATCTACGGCTGGTTGGCTAAGGGCAAGCGTACGCGTAAGCCTGGTCCGCGTGGACATAAAGGTGCGAATACGATGGTTGTTACGGAGAGGCCGAGAGGGAAGGAGAAGAGCAAGAAGGGCTAGGTTGGGGTTAGGAAGTAATATAATGTCATTCACCTTGCAATTATGCAGGGAGACTGCTACAGCAATGACAGCTTGCAAGAACTGCAGGCCTAACCAAATCTTTCCTTAGCCATCTTCTTGAACATCTCCATCGTTCCCTGCTCTTTCTCGCGCAACGCTCGTGTTCTCTCATTCCTCTCTGCCTCTAGCTCCATCCGTTCCGTTCGCTTCTTCTCCTCAAACCGAGATTTCGCCGCATCTCTCTGTCGTAGCCTATCACCATCATATGAGCACCAGGAACAGCGAGGAGGCGGGAACCGGCACATACCGATCCTGAAACGAATCTCCTCCCATTAAGCTCTTGTCATCCATCTCCAAGCCCGCATCATCCCCTTTATCCCTAAACGATCTATCCGCCTCCCTCTTCTCTCTCTTCTTCTCCAACATCCTCTCTCTCCCTACTTCGCGGGGTGCGACCTCCTCCAACCGGTCCCGAGCATCACGTTTGTCCAATGCACGAGAGCGAGAGCGGTCTTGAGCACGCAGTTCTTCAGCAGATTCCTGAGCGAAACGGAGGTCTGACGCGGACGGCAGAGTAGGGCCAGCGACTCTTGATGGCCCTGCGCGTCTCTCCGTCTCTGGTGTCTCGGAAAGGGCAGCGCTGGGTTTTCCCCAGGTGGCACTTCCGACGTCCCCGCGGGCTCGTTCTAGCGCCTCGCGTTCGGCGCGATTCGACTGGTCGGTGAAGGACCACCGGAAGGCCGTTTGAGAGGCCGGGGCGGTCGAGCTGGAGTTGATGCCTGCGTAAATAGATCCTACATATACATTCATCGATGAAAGCTTGTGTGGAAGAATAGGATGTACGGGGAAGACGACCACGATTCCATGAGCGTACGAACTTCTTGAAGTACGAGCGTGCTTTCTCTCCACTGAGTTCATCAAAGTACTGCGCCATCACAGTCATCAGCAACCTATGTTCCCCATGAAATCGTATCCAGCAGCACATACCCTTCTCTTCTCATCCTTGAGCCATACTCGGAACTCGTCATTCTTCGCATAATAGTCCTTTTCCGAGATCTCTTTCGCACCATAAGGAAGTTCTACCTCTGACTCTTCTGAGGGCGTTGGCGAGCGCTCATCTTTCTCCGTATGTCGTCGTCGTTTGTGAGGTCGAGGAGAAGGAGTGCGAGAACGGGTTGACATGGTGGTTGACTGAGAAGTAACGGTCAGTGAGGCGTGTGACTGCTATGCTGTCGGTCATAAACTACACGTCCGTTATCGCCGACTTACTAGGAAAGATGTTTGGAGCACTTGCTAGATGAACTGCTGATATTTCATCGAATGTTCAATGTCACAGGCGAGCTGTAATGTCGTGCATTAATGGAATACCAATACATTAGCTCTATATCTCTCTGATCACCATCGCTCGGCGCACCACCCCGAGGACCAAAGGCAACGCCCAACTGCCCTATACTACCCTGTACTCCGACTTGGCTCCAAACTTTAGCCGGACGTAGAGGGACATTATAAGCTCGTTCGCGGTGAGAGTGACGATCGTATGTGGTGCAATGCGCAGGAAATGCGCGACGGTGCCTGGGTCATTCTCAGGCTGGGCGCATGCTTGCGAGTATCAGCAGTACGTACCCTTGTACCACCCAAATGGACCTTCAGTCTTCAGCGTCTTCCACAGACAGTCAATCGGGTTCTTGTACAGTAGCCCAACTGATTTTCCGGTCTTGGGATCAAGTGTCGTGGGTTGGTTGTACATCCGGGTCAGTGCCTATGACAATAATCAGCGCTGACTCTTCGAATGGGGATGCTATTAGGAAGGAAACAGAACAATGCACGCACTGTGTCGGCGGGTTGCATCACTATGCACACCGTGGCTCCCGACACGCTGGAGGAAGCAAGGAATGTCCAGAACCCATCCGAGCGCCAACCGTTCTGCACAAGCGTCGTCTTGACAAGATTGTAGCTCGGCAGTTGGACCTAGAAAATTCAACAACGCATCAGACTCTGCTGTGTCACATAAAAATAATGGGAACATACCGAGCTTCCCATGCATGTCCTCAAGAGTGCCGCGTCGATACCTCTCAGTAAGCCCCTCAACCCCTCCGTCCGGAAAATAGTGCTCAGTGCGTCCCAAGAGCTCTTATAATGTCTCTGTGCTCCCACAGGAAGTGCCGGAGAGTACGCCTGCATGCGCGCTTTGATAAGGAAAAGCGGGTTCCCTAACGCGGCGCCTACCGCACCGGAAGCGACGCCAGCCGAGATGGATGTGGATGCCAGGACGGTCTTGTCCGGTCGTCCGATCATGCGGTTGAACGTCACCCGGAAAGGTTCGTAAAAGCCTATATTGTGTGCTCAGAAAGTCGCATATACGTAAGTGTGTGTAAGCCGTACCTAATCGTGATCCATTGAGCAATATCTACAACAGTAGGTTAGCCCACGCATACACAGAGCAAAGTGGCCGTACCTGGTAGATATATGCTGGTCCCAACCCTCGTTGTATCCCTCTAATACCCTCATTCTTCCACGTCTTGGCGAACACGTCGAGCACGTTGCGGTATACGCGTGGAGAGCCGGACTTGGCGAGCTCGCCATCTAACTGAAGGCGGGTTTTCGCGACTTCGGGTCTGGAGGGCCGGTCAGCGTGCGGCGGGCAACAAGATGGCACAAGCGCGTTACGGATTGGATATTGTTACCTGAGGGATATCAGTGTGGAGGTCAGAAAAGGAGGGTGAGGACGCACGGCACAACACGCGGCCAGACCACCGCACATGAAGCTCTCGATCGTGCTCAACGGCGGCACAGGTGCCTTTGTTGTGAGGGTAGTCATCCTTCACCTTTGGTCCTCTATCTCTCCACTCGACGACGGCCCAGAGATATAGGAGATAGAGGCAGACTAAGGTGGACGGGAAAAGGAAGGACGATGAGCCGGAGCCGAAGTGGACGACGGACGGTTGAGAAATTGTCAATGCGTCAGCGGAGAAGGTGGGGGAAAGGCACCGTTCATCGTCCCTGACTTCGGCGCCGGACGACGAGCGCCGAAAATTGCGTGCATTTTGCCCTACGCCCACGAACGACTGTCGACCGGCGATTGCGTTTAGGACTAAACTATTATAATGGCTCACCCGGTTGTGGTTGTTGATGCTAAACTTGATCTTCCTGGAGAGATTAGACCACCGACCCAAGCAGGCGCCCAGCTCACAGCTTCCGGGACGTACTCCTATGCTGTCGATTTGCGGGCCAGCGCTACGAAGCCCACCAACGAGCAGTACTATGCCGCACTGAGGTCGGCCGTTGTGTCTGCGAAGGAAGATTTGGGAGAAAGGCTTACTGCATGGAGGGACGCTGTTGGGGATAGAGAGAAGGAGAAAGAAGGCGCCGTGGTTGGGAAGAAGGTGCCAAAGCCTGGAGAAGAGGAGGAGATGGAGGACGAAGAGGATGAAGAAGAGGAAGGGGAAGAGTGAGAGTGTATGCATGGTATCACTGCACTCATGAAGGTGCTGCCGTCCACAGTTCAAAACAACGGTGCGTATCTCACGTCGCTCCCCAAACAGAACCTCTGCTAAGGCATCTTCTTTGTATCCAGATACCCGATTGTCTTTTTTCTGTCGTACCGTATGGCATAATCGAACCTCGAAGCAAGGAATCGCTCACAGTTCAGAACCATCGCATCGTACCACGCCGCCTCCCAATTCCTACAAGTGGCACACACCTGACGCCTTTAGCTCTCTCGAACTGTTGAACAACGTCACTTCTCTTCTGTGCACTCCCGCATCTGCACTCTGTATCATCTCCGAAATTGCAAATACTATTGTTGGATAGCAGCAAACGGCGCTTATTCTGGCTCACCTATCGAGGTGGATCGGCATGACCCTTGTTACGTTCAGCTTTCTCCAGGCGACTATATCCTGCTCTACCTAATGGGGTATCTTCAAATGCCCAGTATATCTTTACCTCCTTCTCTCAGGCGTCGGGCAGCTCAACATGCGACAGCTGGCGCTTTCTGCTGGCAACCATGTGTTGTTGTACGGCGTCTATCTACTTCCTACCTCAAAACCGCCATCCTACCTCTTACTCGTTTGCAGCTGCTTGTTATCTGGCGCACCTCGTGTCTACCGCATTTCCGAAATCCGACGGTCTGGACAATGTACGACAGCAGGGCTAGGTGGTCAATGGTCCCATTAATATATACCTCTTGTCTCTCGTCTCTGCTCGCCCATTCAACAACGGCCACTCAATAATGGACTCTCTCCCCATTTTGTTTTCTGGGGTCGAACTATCGTCTACCACATCTACCACGGAGAACCAAACGAACCGCCGTTCCGCGTCGGCATTCAATGCACCGCCTCGCTTCCTTAACCCGACAGCAGATCTCATCGTCACATCCTCTGACAATGTCGAGTTCAAAACTTGGAAAGCGATTCTCATCGAAGGCTCTTTCTTCTTCAAGGGTATGCTCGAGGATTCGATGTTAAACGAATGCACGATCGGCTGGGGTAAGGTCGAACGTGTGCGCTGGGATGAGACAGCAAAGATCATCAACCACCTACTCATCCTCATGTACCCTATTCCCAAGCCAGCTATCAATTCTCTCGATGAAATATTCGACGTCATCCGGGCTGCCGAAAAATGGCAAATCCCTGTCGCGATCGATTGGCTGAAAGCTACGCTCTTGTGCAAGAAGTTTGTGGATGTCGACCGGAATGCGTTCAAGATCTATGCTTTTGCGTGCGAAATGGATTTCACAGACATACGAGATGAAGTAGCGAAGAAGGCGAGCGAGATAGATCCTTTCGGTATCCCAGTTCGCAGTCACACAAGGCACATGACCGCTTTGGACCTTTTGCGACTCGTTAAGCTTCGATCCGCTCCTTATGCGACGTTCGACAGCCATTTTACGCTCTCACCCAATCCTGACGCAACTGCTACGATGTCGACAGGGCTGCCCGATTCGAGCTCCATCCCATCAGAATTCCGTGATACAAACGGGGACCTTGCAGTGCACTCAGCAGACGGTGTCGAATTTTCGGTCTTCCGGCTCTTCCTAGCTTGCTCATCGCCAAAACTTCGAGATCGCATCCTCAAACTGTCCGAAACGTCGTCTGCTCACAATCAAGGGACGCGCCCAGCGCTGTCGTTACCACTCCCTGCCAGCATCATTCTCACGCTGCTGTATTATATCTATCCTCTACCCAGGTCGCCTACCAAGACCGGAACTTCGAGACTGGAGCATCTCATCCTCTGCATGAGGGCTGCCATAGAATGGGATATTCAAGTCGCCGTTTCTGCATTTCGTGAAGAGCTGATGTCCCCTCTGCATCTTCAAACACGCCCGTTGAAGATATACGGCTTCGCCAACAGCATGGGATTTGAAGAGGAGAAGAAGATAGCAAGAACGCGTGCTATTCTCTTCGATCCGATGGAAAATCGAAATCGAAACGACTTCACGGAAATGACAGGATATGACCTGATACAGCTTCGCGAATTTCGGACGACACTGGTGAAGAGGCTAATGGCAGCATTGCGAAAGTTGAGCTTTCCTTCGTCCCCTTCATCTTGCGTGCATTTCGAACACTACAGCCATGATGATGCCAGCCACAAAGCGACACTCGATTCAGTCTTTGTGCAGGCCATGTGTCAAGCGATCATCCCAAACTCTTTAGTTACCACCCCCGATTTGTACGAGATGTTGGTAGGCGGCACCTGTCTTGAGTGCAGAAAGAACACTGCACGCTTCAGAAGCAGCGAGGAAATCATTGAACAAGTGAACAAAGTTCTAAAAGAGCATCTTGTACTCTATTGCTAGATGGATCAACCGTTGTAGCTTCATTTGAAAAGGTCGTAGGAATCAGAACTTCATTGATATACTTTGCCAATCAATATTTGTTCCCCAAATGTAATGATACATCCGGTGCCAGCGATAATGACGATTTGCTGAAGAACTCCTTTACCACATTGAAGACACTTCTCGGAAGATTTCTGGCTGGAATAGAGGCTAAACCAAGCTCGCTCTTTGTGAGGGAGTGACAGGCCTTGCAAATAACATTCTCTGGGAATCATTATACATTGTGCTATGACTTGTTAGAATTGAGAATACGGCTCAACTCTACCTTGAGAGCCCTCAAGGCGGTCTCGCATGATTGAAGCGTTGCCTGGTCTCCCTGACCGTAACACGACCCACCAAAATTGCCGTCCCATTTCCTGTGAGAGAGGAACGAAGGTATTGCGAATGTGTCCGCCGACATCTTCGCCGTCATTATTCGTGTGAGATACGGCTTGAAAGTGTCCGAAGATGACACAGATAGGTGCCGTGATCCATGGATAAAACAGGTATCGTTAGGCATACGTGGAAGCGAGGCGTTGTTTATCGCAGCCTTAATTGCAGCAAGGCACCTCTTTCTTTCGTCAACAAGGTAAAGCCAATCCAGGGCAGATAAACCAACGAAATCGGCAATCTTGTCGTGGTATACTGGGTCAGTCTCGATCGCATGCATTGCAGCGACTTCTCTTTCCTTATCGAACTCCATGCTGCAGCAGAAGGCATGGCGTCGGAACTAACACGTTCCGGGCTGATAATAGCAGCTCGCAAAGGGCGTAAGGCGGCTTCGATCTTCCATACATGGGCTGCCCACAGCACAGCCATTAGCTCATCGGTAGATTGCTCCGTACGCGGATGTTCGCCAAGAGGGTAAATATAGCGCAAAAGTGCTTGTATCGTTCCAGCATGCTCAGGCCATTCCATAGTCTTCGCACAACTGGCATTCGTGGGCAAGGTTGAGGCACCAGATGTGGTTATAAGGTCGGCGAGACGAGGCGATGCCTCCCGTAAGAAGAGGGAGAATACGCGGAATTCGACACCGTCGGATGACTTGACAACCAAATCCGCGTCATTCCTCTTGAATAGTGGGTCCCAAGCATAGAGTATTGGCTGGTGCCATGCCGGTACTGGCCGAGTCGCATCATTTCTCTTCAAGGCTTCCGGAAGGTTCGCCGGTTTCTTGACAGCATCATGCATCATGACAATGCGAATTAAATCCAAGGCAGACGAGTTGCCTATCTGATCACGACGACAGGGATCACGTGGGTCCGACAGGCTAGCCTTGCTGGCACTGAGCTCGATTTCATCTTCGAAATCCATCTCGCAGCAGAAGGTATAGACGCGGAGGGGTAGATGATCGAAACGAGGGGACATTACTTCGCGCCTCAGAATCCATAGTGCGACTTCGATCTGCCACTTATCGGCAGCCCGGCCTAGCTCCATCACATCGTCAAAAGATATCAAGGTGGGCTTGATGACTGGATAAATATATCGTAAGAGTCGGTCGACCAGTACGCCACGTTCGGGCCAGGGCACAGGTTCAGTCGGATCTGTGCCTAACGGCTGCGGATGGTCGAACATGTCTGCAAACACCGCTGAACCTTCAACAAGAAAGGTTTTGTGAACACGAAACTCGAATCCATCAGAGGATTTAACGATGAGGTCTGCAGCGGGGTTGCAAAACGGGGCGGAAACCTTGAACGGTACCGTGGCCATGACGGAGGCTGACCTTGTCGTGTATATTGCTGGGTATACGCGAGATGTATATTACTCTTGCATGCAGGGTTTGTGACAGTCAGGATGAAGGAGGACCGGTCCATGCTTATGAGAAAGAGTGGGAATGAGCACGCGAACCGGAAGATCCTCGGCTCCGAAGCAAGCAGGTGAAAAAACGGTGGCGAAAAAAGTCGTTTGGCGCTCAAAGCACATCAGACGCGTCTCTGTTAAACTCCTTCAATTGACAGCATGGTACGTTCAAACATATATACAAGCTGGTAGTCCTCACCATTTCAACAGTCCATCTCTCTCCAACAACCTGCGCTTCATGATCTCACCAAGCTTGAGCGCATTGGTGCGCATTCCCATATTCGGGGCCTCGGACTGGATGACCACCTGAACCCACGCCCCGTCGGGTCGGGCATGGTGGGACAGACCAAAGCACGGCGCGCTGCTGGTCTGATCCTCAAGATGGTACAAGAGGGACGGATTGCGGGAAGGGCAATTTTGATGGCGGGACCAGCAGGGAGTGGGAAGACTGCTATTGCTATGGGTATGTGAGATCTTTTACGCGACTTCTGGTTACCTGACTGCTTGCAGGGATGGCACAAGAGCTTGGACCGGATGTACCGTTCACTTCCATCGCTGCATCAGAAGTATATTCGTTGTCGATGTCAAAAACAGAGGCGTTGACACAAGCGTTCCGTCGAAGTATTGGCGTTCAGATCAAGGAGGAGACGGAGATCATCGAGGGCGAAGTTGTCGAGATTCAGATTGACCGGAGTCTCACTGGAGTATGCGACAATGTTTCGATCTCTTGATGATGTGCTTAACATATGTCGATCAGGCGACCAAGACTGGCAAGCTCACACTAAAAACCACCGACATGGAGACAGTCTATGATCTCGGTAACAAAATGATCGACTCACTCACCAAGGAGAAAGTCCTTGCAGGAGACGTGATTGCCATCGATAAGGCATCTGGACGGATATCGAAGTTAGGGCGGAGCTTTGCGAGGAGCAGGGACTATGATGCAATGGGTGCCGATGTGCGTGCATCTGCTCTTGTCTTACGCTTCCGCTCCTCATATCGCGTAGACCAAGTTTGTCCAGTGCCCAGAGGGTGAAATCCAAAAGCGCCGTGAAGTGACGCACACTATCTCGTTGCACGAAATCGACGTGATCAACAGTCGCACACAAGGCTTCCTTGCACTTTTCGCGGGTGACACAGGCGAGATCTCTCCCGAGCTACGTGATCAGATTGACACGAAAATCAATGAGTGGCGAGAAGAGTCCAAGGCGACTCTCACACCTGGCATTCTCTTCATTGATGAAGTGCATATGCTGGACATTGAGTGCTTCTCGTTTATCAACCGCAAGCTTGAGGAAGAGCTTGCACCCATCGTAGTGATGGCGAGCAATAGGGGAATGGCGAAAGTTCGAGGGACGGGATACAAGGCGCCGCATGGCTTGCCGGTCGATTTGCTTGATAGGGTCATGATCGTGCGGACCGGCCCGTATTCTGCAGATGAGATTGAAGGAATCATCAAGATTCGGTATGCACCTCGATGCCTATTCTTCTTCGCCTGCCTATTAACGAATGATACAGTTGTCAAGAAGAAGACACGTCTATCAGCAACGAGGCTGTCGCTGTCCTGACCAAAATGGCCCAGGAAACGACTCTCCGCTACGCGCTGCAGCTCATTTCATGCGCGGACGTCCTCGCTCGCCGGCGGAAAGCGAAAGAAGTCGACCGGCAAGACTTACAGCGTGCATACGTGTACTTCAACGACGAGAAGCGGAGCGCGCAATGGCTCCGAGAACAAGGAGGTGGACTCTTGGTGTGGGATATGGATGTCAAGGTCGATGGGGAGGAAACGGGGGACGCGACGATGTCGTGAGGCGACATCCGGGGGAAGAGGGGCCGGGGATGCGGTGACGTGATTTGTACAGTTGTAATTTCTTCAATGATGAATCTACTCGAAAACCTCTTGTGCTGAGTCATCCACCAGAGCGTCCTCAGACTTACGACCCTCGATCATACAGTGAATCTCCTGAGCTTGCAGCCCTTCGAGCCCCTAAGCGAGGAGCTCCTCATCCGCAACCCATCCATTGCCCAAGTCCACTCCCGTTTTTTGCCAATATCCGTCTTCACTACAGTAACCTCCTCAATACTTGCAGGCTGTTGACGACATTGTCTGATGAGGTGCTTGCTGGCTTCCGAGCAGCCTCTCTGAATCATCTTGGCGTGAGCCCGTCGATGTATGAGTCTAGAGGGGGTGACAAAACGAGGTTACATCGTGGTGAAGAGATACGTCTACCAAGGGTATAGTGTCATGAAATTAAAATCAGACAAGGTACCATTAAGACCGCTTGGCGCAGCGGTAGCGCGTGAGATTCCAGTGATTGGGACCTCCTCAAGGTCATCCGTTCAAATCGGGTAGTGGTCATAACATTTTGGCCTCGCAAAAAGCTGTGCTACCTAAGGTCCTCCTTCCGACTGGGGGATGTGGATGTCCGGTACCTGTGGAATATGTAACTTTTCTTTAGACGTAGGTGGTACGGCCTGTACTTTTCCGACATGGCATCTCCAAAATCGGAGTACGGATCGTCCTGGTAACCTTTTCAACATGATCCAGATTTTGCCTCCGCTCGTCCCTGATGCTCTGAAATTCTTGACCGACAAGCGCCCGTGTCCTGTTAGCTGTCTGGATTACCATTTGCAAGGCAGCGCCTCCCTCAACCGGATTATTCTTCAATTTACTGTCGGATATGAGCGCTGTCGAGGATGGAATGGAACAAGAAGCCGTCAACGTTGACTCCGGACCATCCACATCCACTGTTCACCCTGCCCCAGGTGTAACATCTGAGCAGGTACGCGAAGAACAACACCGCATGTCAAACAGGCATATCATCAAGGCTGGAGATAACGTGGTATTTCGAATGCCATCGGGACAGACGAGGGTGCACAAAGTTGACGATAAGGCGTACGCCTCTCCTTATTCCCACTGAGTTTGGTGCTGACGCCTGTCGACAGAACCATCAGCTTGGGCAAATTCGGCACCTTCCCGTCGTCCCGCCTCCTAGGGCATCCATTTGGACTCACATACGAGATCGTCGATAGTGGTATTTTGCGAGTCATGCAGCCCGAGGTTGTCAAGGAGCTCGGTGGGTCCGTCTCCATTGTTCAACCCCAGAGCTTGGCTGACCATCCTGGTACTTGGTGGTGTTGGGACAGAGGAGACCCAGGCTACAAATGAGTACATAGAAGATGTGGGGCAGGCGGTACAGCCCCTCACATTTGAGGAGATCGAGGCGCTCAAGAAGAGTGGCACAGCGGCTTCCGTACGTCATAGTGCACTTGACGTCACCAGGCTTTAATTCAACCCGTGGGATAGGATATCATCAACATGCAAATTACGAGCCATGCGAATTATGAGCTAAAGACAGAATTCAGTAAGGAGAAGTACAGGAAAAGAAAACAAGCCAAGTACGCCCATTCTCTAACCTGCACTTGGTCTTCATCTGCAAACGACTTATGCTGTGACCAGGTTCAACAAAACGTTTACCGCGCTCCCTCCTTCTCCAAGCAACCTCCTTTCCCATATAGTCGCGCAACAGCCGTCCCGCGTGCAGCACCTCCGTATCGACACCCTAGCCCAAATGCTCACTTTCACCAACGTGCAGGAAGATGGGAGGTACATCGTCGTGGAGGATTGCGCGGGGCTGATAGTCGGCGCTGTCTTGGAGCGGATGGGTGGTACGCATCTCCCCTACGACTTGTGCTGTTGTTGTGAAACTTTAGCTGACACAATCAAAAGGGAAAGGAACGTTGCTCACTATTCACGACGCTGATTCCCCTCCTGCGCATCACATTCTTAATCAAATGAACCTCACACCTGAGGAGCTAGCACCGCTCCGAGTACTCAACTGGGCAACAGCGGACGAGAGTCACACCCCCGGTCGGTTTCACCCTTGCGCCAGAGATCGAGCTGACACATGGAAAAGTATTTCCTCCCACTTCGCCCTCAGGCAAGAAAACAAAATCCGAACGCGAACGCCGCAGGCTGGAGAAGCGAAAAGAGGCGATAGATCTTGTTCTCCAAACGAGAGAAGACCTGTTCGCCGGCGAATGGGACGCGTGGGTATTCTCGTTGCTCCCTCGGGGCATGAAATTCGTATGACAATGCTGATTGAAGGTGAATAGCATGATAGTGGTCTCGCAGTATGAACCGATGAGCATTGTTCGAAGACTCGGCAAGTATCTCGCCGGCTCAGCGAATTGTGTCATCCACAGTCCATACAACTCTGTACGCCTCATCCCAGTCCTCCCTGTGTGGATCAGCGTTGATTCTCCACAGGTGCTCGCTGATCTCCAAGTGAAGCTCCGCCAACAAGGCGGATGGCTAAACCTGCAGCCTACAGAGGGCTGGTTGAGGCGATATCAGGTGCTTCCGGGCAGGACACATCCGGATATGAACGTACAGGGGAGCGGAGGCTGGCTATTACATGCTATCAAGGTGTACGTGGCAGGGCCTTTTTATTCTATCTCCGACGAAATTCGTTGTAGATGTGTTAATCTGATTTGGAGAATAGATACGACGACCCCTCAGCAAGTAGCATCGTCCACTGGGAATTTCAAGCCAAGAAACGAAGAAAGCTTAACGAAGCCGGAGCCAGCGCGAGCGGGAGTGCACCAGAGACACCAGCTGAAGAGACTGTCGAGGATCGCGAGACTGGTGGAGCAGCTGATGAGGAAGTTGTGGAGGCTGCACTCGTGGAAGCCGACGAAGAGATGCAAGTTGACCAATCGTCTGGAGAAGTAGGTCTCGATGCGGACGCCAGCGGTGATGGTCAGCGATACCCGGCTGGCGCAGAGCAGACTGTAATTGAGCCTCTCGAGAGTGCCTCGTAGCTCAGTGGCGATATTCGATCAATCTGTTGCACTACTCTTACAACCAACTGGTGCTGACTTGTGCTGCTTGAGTTGTGACGATCCATGGCCCTGCTTGGAAGCGATTCCGCAGATTCATTCAGATCAAGGGATTTACAGGGCAGCTAGACGAACCACAACCGTGTTGGCATAACTTCACGACAAGTCTTGCGAACTGTCAACAGCTATTAGGTGTGGCAATGGATAACTTACGGGCAAGTATCTAGCAACGCGCTTCACAAGACTCACACACACAAGCTTGTGTCGACCTGCTGTTTATCCTACTGGAGGACGGCTCTAAGGATCTCATTGGCACCAATGTGCCACCTAACTAGTCGATGCAGTGCAGGGTGAGCATATGCTACTGACACGGCCCAGTCCGTGCCGAGGAGGGTATAAATATCTGATATATTGGCTGAAAGAAGGATTAGAGGTAATTTTTTGAGTTAAATAATGGGGATATTCAGAACACGGTGCATCAATATCTCATCATCCGAATCATTCTGACGTGCCCCATCAAGGTTAGTCAATTTATGAAATTTATGAAGTCCCGAATAGAAGTCTCACCGGGAGTTGCTATAGTGCCATTATGTGCTTCCTCAAACGTTTTGCTCACAAATATCTCTGCGGTCACGGTTTCGAGACGTGCCAAGAGGTGCCCAGGAGCACGAGTCGGCCAATGTGTTCTCGTCCGCCGTGGATGCAATATCCAATGGCCGAGACTTTTATCAACATCGCCCACAAGGAGAAGTGTTCGATGTGCGTCAGCCGCAAGCAGGCCGAAATATTCGACAACAACTTGAGGAAGGCAGGGTTTCTGTGCTGACTAGTGCGGCATGATACCATGCTGCCGTTGGACTTCCCGTTGTAACGCCACGACTTCCCGAGTTCTGAGTCCCTAGAGAAGGGACGAGCCGAATATTTGGCAGTAATGGGGATGGATATATTAATATATTCATCCATCTGTCGGTCCGGCTCGGGCCCCGTGCGCCTATCTGGATAATCAATGTGATAGGCCCTCAATCGGGCAGCGATCGGGAAATCTGGTTGCGCGGCCTCGTGTGCTGGAAAGTTCGGTTAACGATCACAATGGGAAGTTCCGGAAACCGAAGCGTTGGAGGGTGCTTTTCGTCCCCGACGTTCTCTTGACGATGCGGCTTTTCCTCTTCGTTTCCGGTCACCTGGGGTCGAAGTTCTTCGTATTTCTCCTGGATACCCGGCGCACTGCCACCCCCGAGAAGGCCTCGACCATGTTGCCAGCAAAATTAAATTACGTGGATAAGGATGGGGGTTAGAGACAAAGAGTGAGTCCTAGGTGATTTCTGATGAACGTACCCTTTGATCGTGTTGACACCGACGACCAAGTGAGTGACGCTAGCTCCGGATCTCCTAGTAGTGCTGAACACAGTCTTTTAGCTCAGTTTTGTTGAGTAGCCACCTCTGAGCTACCAACCCGACGCTTCCGGAGCAGCCACATCATTCACTCCATATCCGAAAATAATCCCACGATGTGCTGGACCCGGATCGACACAACGACGTTTAGCTGCCATGCAGGCAAAGTGCTCAACTTCGTGCCGGTAAAGTGCGACATCCGCAAGGACTGGTGCGTCCGCCCCGAGCATGGGTACCCAACGTACGAGGGTACGACGCGGATGGATCCGTCGAGGTGTGGGGCTTGCAGACACAAATGGGAGGCGCAGCAGAAGGCCAAGAACAAGTAGTGCCGAGTCTGGGGCGGCACATGACGATGGACCCTTCCTGGGCTGATAAAATTGTCCATGTCTCACTTTGTTGTACGACGAGGACTCCCCGTATACCCCATGTTGTTGATCGACTGTCTTGTTTCTCTATGCTGCGGCGCACAAGAACGTCAGTCTCCCTTGAGCAGTCACCCGTGCGCCCAGCGGGAGAACTTGTCTAGAGCCACTGCGGTCGTTGTGGTTGTCGTCAAGTCGACGGTGGGACTCTATCGCCGTCCGCCCACCCAGTAGGCACCGGGTGCCGAACACCGCCACTTGCCTGCAATGTGTAAATGTTGTGCCGTTCTGGTCCAAGATGCCGCGGGTAACGAATTTCCTCTTATATTCGCCAGAATAAGGAAATTGTCCACAATGATTGTGGATTTGAGCTAGTGTGATACCGCCCTGACATATATCTGGGAATCTTCCTCCTGCGCTGGAGAGAAAATCGATTTCTTCTGCTCGTTGAAGAATAGAACTGACCGCCAAGATAACGTATACCTCATCATCACCCTTCTCCAATACCGCTCAACGGACAGTCTCGTAGGACAAGCAAAGTCCTTAAGCCAGCGTGTGGGAGACGAAGCACTCCCTTCTGTTGAGAAGAATCCAAACACCTGGCAAAGAAGCGCGCGTCTCTCGAAACATCCCAGTCACGTTCCCAGCAGGACAGAAAGCAGTGCATGCAGACCAGAGCATGGGGTGCAAAAGCCAGCCCTTCTGAGCTTTGGGAGGGGGCACCTGACATTGGCCACATGTATTCCTGACATGTCACCCAGGGCGACATGTCAGGAATACATGTGATGCTCCTTTAGCAGTAAAGAACAGCTGCCAGGTGACGCGGGTAGGTCTAGAACCCTGAAAGAAATAGGGTACACCTAAAATAACATCATTTTGTCATGAGGTTGCTCGAGAAGTCTGGAAGTGGATGCCTCCAGCACAGCGACCAAGGCGCCAGCAAGGACTATGCCAAGGCAACAGCAAAGTCTAGGCCATATTTCTGGCCTCTGGTGATATTCCTCGGCGGACCCGAGACGAAAGGGGCGTTGTCCTCGACAGCACAGTATCGATAAGCGACATCTCAACAGCACCCTGCAGTTCTCAGGAGAGTCTCGACACACGCCGCGCCTTCAAGCCTGCATGTCAAAGAAATTTCGTGTAGAATACAACACCTGACAAAGCAGCACATCTCAGCCTCACTCTTGAGCCACTTATCAGGAAAGTCCAGGTAGATGATGCGGACAGACCTAGACCAAGAACACCGCCAAACCAACAGCAGGCTAGTCTTCTTCACTCCACCCGGCCATGTCTGCATATCCCCTCCCCTTCCTCCCATCCCTGCTTTCGCTCCTCCCTTCCCCTCTCAAGCGCGATAAGCTCCGTCCCGTACCCCCCCTTCCCCGGGCAGGACCATCCTTCTCTCCGGTTCCGCTCGATCGGCCCCGTTCTTCCCCAGGACCACGGGACTGACTCCGTTCCCGCTCTTGTTGTATCAGACAGTCCCGAAGAGTTTGATATACCCACAGCACTTGTTCGTCCCGTTGTACCATACCGGTCCTCTGATCCCTCAGGCTGTCCACTTCCCATGCTACCAGATCTTGCGCCGGCTCAGAGGGTGGTACCACGAGAGGGGGGAACGTCCCGAGCGGGGAGGGGCCGAAGGGGCCTTCGGGCGCAGAGCTGGGAGGAGGGCGATGGAGCGTTGTTTGCATGGAGCCATCTGTACCGTTTGGGGTCGGGGCGGGAACAGGACGCAGAAGGGAGTAGGTTCGGAGCAGGCTACATAGAGCAATCCATGTTCCTGTCCTGCCTATGCCAGCTGAACAATGCACGATCGCAAGTTTGCCTTCAAGTTCTTCTCCGTCCTGTGCTGTGCCTTCACTCGAGAGGGAGTCGTCGACTTCTTCTATCATCCCGAGTAGGGGACCTCCGGTTAGAGGAACCCCATGATCCGGCCATCCTTCGTAACACCAATGTTCCACCGGAAGGCCATTAACCTCCAGCTTGCTGAGGACTACCTGCCCCGGCAAGTTTTCGCGCGAGAGGAGTGTGACCTTGATAGGCTGACCTTGAGGGTTGGACTCAGGTGGGGGGTGGACGACGCTCTCTCCCACCGAGGGGGGAATGTATGGATCGGCCTTGCGGATCCGGAGTTCCACATCCCTCGTGAGCACTACGATCGCTTGTACTCTTCTCCGCTTCGGTTGGCCTGCTCCAAGCGACGGCGAAGCCACAGGAGCGCAACACAAGCTCAAAAAAGGGTGAACTGTGCTCGGCACGGGGGCCTGGGCAGCGATCCACCATTTCCCTCCATGAAGCTCTCTCACCCACGAGGCGTTTACATATTCACTCCCTCCTGTTATTGATGGAGGAGGGAGAACGAGGTTGTGGTCGTAGGGTACTATTCCGCCGGTGTAGCGGTTCTTCCCCTGGGCTTGAGCGTACATCCCCAGGCGGATGGAATAGTATTCCTGCGGATCTTTGGGTGTTCCTTCAGCAGAGGTAGGAGGAAAATCCTTCAGTCTCCGTCTCATCCATTTCCCCCTCTGTTTCTCCCGTTCAGAAAGATCCGACAATACGAGTTTCAGATACTTCGCATCCGTGAGGGCGGCATGCAAGTACGCCGGCACGCCAGCGGGAGCACGGGAACGAGAACGAGAAGCGAAGGTGCTAGGCTTGGGGTTGGAAGATGGGCGACCGCGGGATATGTCGACTGCTGGGGGGGAGGTGCTGGCCGTGGTTGGAGGGGGAGGGGAGATTGGAGTACCCGAGCCGGACTCGCGGGAGGAAGACTGACGCCGGAAGAAATTCATCGTCTGTCCTGGGTGGCGGGTTAGTTGTTTGGGTATAGGGCGCAGTATTTCGAGTGGGGAAGCCAGGGAAGGTATCGTGGACGACGAGAAGATGACGGCCGACAACGACGACGAGAGGTTGGACAGTGAGCAAGGGGCAAAGGACGATGAGGAGACACCCCTGAGGTCAGGTGACGATCCCTTGATCTATTTCTGAGGCACGCACTCTGATTGGTTGAACCATTAGGCGCCCTCCACTAACTAAATACTTATTCTCATTTATGTATTCATGATCACTAGTGATCATGAATACATAAATGTACTCTCGTATGTGGGACGCTCGCAGGTGCCTAACACGTATGCGTCGAGTTAAGAACATTAATCAACCTTCTCAAACCACTGTTTCGCCTTCTCGTAATCCCCTTTCCTCACTGGTTGGGCCAACGAATATCGAATGATCCACATCCTCCTCACCTTCCCACCTTCCACCTCAAACTCGGCTTCGAGCACATCCGCTGCTCTGACAAACGGGCTCCGGTCCTTGCCAAAGCCATGTGGGTAGAGAGCTTCGAGTCGCGCTTGCCACAGAGGGCCTTCAGAGTGTTGGAGACGGAGGTGAGAGCCCCAGATCCTTGGGAAGCGCGCGTAGAGCTGGGGAACGTCGGGCGCAAGGAGGGGAGGGGCGGAGGGGGAATTGTCCACTGCTGAAAAAGCGGAAAGGATGGCGTCCCTTTCCTCGGAAGGCCGGGACTCGGTGGAATAGAAGGTCAAGTTACCGTAGGAAGGGGAGGTGTATTTCCCTGTGTATGATTCTAGTGGCAGAGGGAGTTGAACACCCTCAGCCCGCTTGTGGGTGGTTGCACGCTGCTTCGCGGCGAAAGATGGGTGCTGTACGTCGCTCCTCAAGCGAGAGGGCCAGTCAATGTGCGGAAGAGAGAGAACGTCCTCCATGATCCTATGTACCGCCGCGAGAAGCACGTTTTGCCTGCTTCCCAGGTTGGAGAGGAGAACGATACCCAGATTATCATTCGGACAGAAAACCTGGTACGACGACACACGCGGGGTGCCGCCCGTGTGGGAGAAGACCTGATGTCCTTGATAGTGATGGGTGAAGAGGCCGGCTGAGTAGAGCGTTGCACTTGTTTCTGGCCAACGCGGATTGTTGGCGAGGGAAAAGCCGCCCACCACTCGGGCGGTAGTGAGGTGCTTGAAGAATCCCGCGCTGCACAAGCGCTCGCCCGTGTGCGGGTTCATACCTCCAGAGAGGAGGCATTTGATCCAGTTCGTCTGGAAAAAAGGTGAGTGGATATCATGCGAGGGACAGGAGGAGACACACCATATCCCTCGCAGTGGATATGATCCTCCCACCAGCAGCCATCAGCCCAACACTTTAGTCGTCAACAAAATGTTTCTCCGCTCTGCAGACCTCGCCATCCACGCCCGGCACCCAGCAGAAAGCCTGGCTGAAGGCTCCCAGTTTGGCGGCCTCACTCGGCCAGTACGTGGAATGATCCATCTTGAGAGGTTTGAGGATGCGTTCGGTTACAAAGTCGGTATATCGCATGCCCGAGAGGTTCTCAATGATCCGCGCATTTACCATGAACATCTTCCCAACCCCATAAGTGTCCGTCCCCGACTGAGGAGATGAGCGCACGCACCATGTTGTTATACTGCCACTCCTCGCTCAGCCCACGATTCGGCTTCATCCATTTGAGTCTCTCAAGCACCTTATCCCTTTCCTCGTACCCATACGCCAAATCGTGTGTGGGTAACCCGCACGTGTGCGCTACAAGATCCCACATCTGCATCTCCGTCTCTGCGAACTTGTCTTGTAGCTCAAACTCGGGGTAGAGCGACTTGACGGGTGTGTGCCAGTCGAACGTCTCGACGCTTTGCGGGAGAGGTGCATAGGATGGGGGTGGAGAGGAAGAGTAGTCAGACATCAGGATACATGATGCAAACGCGGAGAAGGCCTTGGAGCAGGAGGCGATCCCAAACAGCGTCTGTACGTTATCAATTGTGGGTTGAGCGATAGAGTAAGTTACGCACATCAGGTGTGACATGATCGCCAGCGTCGTTGTACACCCCGAATCCTTTCAGTTCGACTTCGCTATCCGGACGCACGACCGCTAGTGCAAGTCCAGGGATTTTGTATTCCCTAGGAGGACAGTGGTGATGTACTCGGAGAGGCCGTCGTTGATCACTGGCTTGCTCGACATTTTGCAGAACCGTCACTGGCGGTCGCGATTGCACGCTTGCGTATGAGCATTCACTTGCGTTCCTATATAAATAGCTTATTCCTTATGTGCTGGACGGTCCATGGTCGGGATAACCTCCAATAGTATGACAATGGAAATCCGCATTTGGGTATTACCCCGACCTCCACAAAATGTTGACATTATCGTTCCTTCCGCCGCTGATTGAGCAAAGTCGATAACTTGGCCAGTAGTCATGGGGTTGAGAGTGTATTTTTAAAGTAGTAGTCATAGTGTCATGCAATCAAATCAGGACATCGTTGGTGGTTGAAAGGTTGCAATTCAATTCAATTGAATGTTTATCTCGTTCGCGCACTGCATCACGTGCTCTTTTCCCTATTAGCGTTGCGTGTGCAAGTTCCTGGATCACTCACAGAAACGGCGATGACCTGGCCACTGCTGTAGGAGAGAAATCTGTCCAAAATAGAAATGAGTCATCAGTCCATACGTTCTCTACTCTTCAAGTGGCATTTTATCTTTCATACAGCGACTTCATCTGCTATCCAACCTCCCCTCTTTCTCCGCCTTCGCATATGCATCAGGATCCATAACATCAATGCCTGCTTCCTCCGCTGTCACAGCATCAGCTCCTTCCAGGCGGACAACATAGTAACAACCGCTCATACCTTTAATCTGCCTGATAGGCCCTTTGAACCACTTTCTCGCGAAGACTAGCCACATGCCGAGACTGTAGGTGATGACGATCCCCACTGCGACCACGGCGTAGTTGAACGTCTGGCTCGTGACCGGGTTGATCTGAGGAAGGATGAAGAAGATCTGCTCTCGTCATCAGTACGATTCCACAAGTTAAGAGGAAACGCTTACAGTAATAGTCATTATCCAGCAGACAGCGACGATCCCGATCGGAATGCCCCATTTCCCGAGATGCCACGGTCCTCGGGAAAAGTTGTCATGGTCGATTACTCGGAGTGCGATGGGGATCCCGTACGAGATGTACAGTCCGATGGTAGCGATGCTCGTCGCGGCAGTGAAGGCTACCGCGCTTCCAAGGCTAGGAAGTCCAAGACAGAAGGAGAGGAACACCGCGAGCCAGACTGTGCGCACAGGACTTTTACGCACAGGGTCGACCGTATGTAGCCACCGAGGGAGCGCATCGTCCCGCGAGAAAGCGTACATCATACGCGAGTTAGCTGTGATGCTGAACGTGCCGCACCAGAACATAGATCCGATGACGATCACCATCAGAACGATTGCGCCTCTCGGGCCGCAGGTGTCGAGGAAGATTTGTGTCACGGGCTCCCCGGATGCAGGCGCGAGCGTGGCGTCTAGATCTTGAATCGAGAAGAGGAGGCCGACGAGGAGGAACCAGCCTAGGAGCGCCGAAACGCCGATGGCCATGACAATTCCCCATGATCCGGAGGTGGCGGCGTTATGTGTCTCCTCGGTCATGTGTGCGGAGGCGTCAAAGCCTGTCAGGGTGTACTGAGCAAGGAGGACGCCGATGCAGACGACGTAGGCTGGGGAAGCACGCTCGCTCCACCCTGGAGAGCCGGTACCGTCGATGAATGTGCGGAAGACGAACTCTCCCGACTGGTGTGTGGGTGCCGCAGCAAGCACGGCAATAATGAGTGCCGTGGTTCCCAGTGCGTGCCAAACGATGGAAACGTTGTTGAGGTAACGGAGAAGATGCACGCCTAGACTGAGGTTAGTCTTGGTTTGTTCGGAACAGATGCAAGGAAGAATGACAGACCAAAAGTGTTAATCAGGCCCTGTGTGACGAGTACTGCAGCGTATATCCCGATGATGCTCTTGGCACCTGGCACGTACGTCTCGCTTTGCATACTCGCCGCAGTGGCAATAAACGTCGCACACGCATAACTAATCCCAGTAGTGACAGCCACTTGACCGAGGAGGTTAAACCACCCGGTGATCCAGGATGCGAACGGCGCGTGAGAGGGGCGAGCAAGCTTAGCAGCCCAAAAGTATGGCCCGCCGGAGGTGGGGCAGGAAGAACAGATCTCGGCCATCGCTAGACCCACGGCCATCGTGAAGAACGCAACAACCCACCAACCCCATACCATCACTGCTGGACCGCCGGTTGTCTGCACGAGATGTCAGAACTGTTTGAGTTGGTGAGGAGAAGGTACGCACTAAACCGAAGAGAAACAGCGAAGGGATTCCAGTGATTACGGAAATGATAGAAAAAGACACGCCGAAATTCTTAATTACATACTTAGCATATTGTCAAGGAAGCTAGAACCAATCCCACCTGCAAAAGATGCAAATCCCGCTTGAGCTCCTGCTTGTATCCCAGCTTCGCGAGCTCCGCCTCGTCCGCTCCTATAGGCACTTCGGAAGCCATATCGAGCTGAGCCTCTTAACAGTGGGATCAGGTACAGAGAAAGCAAGGAGGCAAAGCACAAGCAGGGCAGTCGTTGAGCAGATCTAGTTAAGCCGCAGCCCGCCCCACGCTGGGCTTATCTTCGCAGTACGTAAGTCGCTCATGCCTAGTGCAGGCAGATCTCTTCCATCTTCTGCCTGATTCTTCTCGCTAAAAGTCTCGCGTGATCCCTGGCGTTCGGGAAGCAAACTCCAATACCCCGAACATGAATCCAGCATGCATGGAGGACGTGTAGATTAGGGATCTCAGGTGATGGAGGACAGATGACGATAAAGGGAGAAGAGAAGAAGCATGAACCGGGCGCAACAGGATTAATAGCCGGGCGCAGATAGGGCGCTTACTTAAGTAATTCCGACCGCGCGCCATAGCATGTGAAACAGTGAGGACGACTCTTGACTCGGATTTTGTTTACAACTCCACTGCTTGCCAACAACGTCGATGACAACGATAAACCACCTTCCAACCGAGCTACTTACTCTCATATTCAAATTCGCACATGACCGAGTGGCGAAAGAGCTGCACAATCCCTGGTGTCAACAGGCGGCACACGTACTCGTGACCATACGGAGAACCTCACCCTGCTATTTCACGCACTATACTCGACCTGCTCCTTGTGGAGGAATATCTCAACCTCGGTGTCACTCTTCTGGCGTGTGATTCCCCTCGTCCCTCCGTCCAGCCTTCCATGCACCCTCCAACGCTTTCTTGAGCTGTCGAACGGTCGCCCAATCATGTTGGTCCTCAACGTCCACAGCATCTCCGCCCCATGTTGCAAACCATGCAACGTCATAGTGCTCTACAACGAGTCTCTACTATCTCTCTCTCTCTCGATATGGAACACACCTATTTTGGTATCATCGAACACCGATTTCCATCCCTGGAGCATCTTGGTATCCAAACACCGTATTTCCCCATAATACCACAGGACTGGATATGGCTACAAGCTCATGCCCCAACGTTGAGATCTTTTCACATGTGGTCAAGAGGAGGCTGGATTATGTACCACACCCCCATCTCTTTTCCTCGTGTAGAGCGAGTGGGCCTACATACATTCGGCGAACCTGATGACCGATTTGCGGAGTTTCTGGTTCTGAACAGTTTCTTCGACTATGACTTTCCCCCCAATTTGCCAAACCCCATGCCCAACTTGCGCCATCTGTCCCTGGAAAACTATATCGAACACGACATTCTCAACCGCATCCTAAAGTCTTCCCCCAGACTCGAATCCATCACTTTTCTTGGAGGAGCATCCAAAGCATACATTCTCAATGATTGGATCACGAGTCTATCAAACCAGGTCTTCCAGGTGCCTTCCGTGCGATCCATCCGTCTGGTGGGAGGAGTTCTGCATCGAAGTAACCTGCAAGCGCTCATCGACTTCTGTGGTACATGTCTTCCTAATGTCAGTACAATAACCGTGGAACGAATTCGATTCACACCACTGGACTGCACTCTTCCTCTTCGTGCTCAGTCGCGCTTCCAATTGCGTATGGTCGACTGCCAGTAGCACGCTTCTATCTACTTTGCAACCGAGGCGATATTTTCAACGATTATGAGCTACAGAACAAGTTTGCTGGGAACTGTTCAAGCAGATAGGTAATAGTTCCAGCCACTCAAACCACTCAGCCCGTTGTTCTTTGTTCGGACCGCCGCGGGACATGATTCCCCATCCAAAGCATCGGCGATAATCCACATAGGATTTTGTATCTGAACTCCAGCATTAAAAACCATTTGGATCTAAACATCCATTCTTCTGCAGGTGCGTTGTGATGTGATCAAATCATATGCATGGAGATGACTTGCCTCGTTCGCTGTCGTCTGCTGGTTCAGCTATCGCCCGATCCAAATGAGTTGTTTTCCGACTCGGATCTTTCCATATCTCCTGATTTGTACAATTAAGAATTCCGAACGTGAGAAGTAAAGTAGATCGGGACGCATCGCACCGATATCATGATGGCGAGGCGATGATGAGATGATGTTCCCGGAAGTAAACAGTACGTATACTTGTCGCTGTCATGCATAGCGAACTGGCTTGGTCCACAACCTTACACACGACGATGTCGACGCGCACAGCGATAAACAACCTTCCATCTGAGCTACTAGGTCTCATATTTCAGTTTGCGCACACCCAAGCTGTAGAAGATTTGCAGGATGCCTGGTTGGCAAATGCAAAGAACATGGCTGTACAATTCGCCGCTTCTACCAGACGGACCTCGACTAAACAGCCTAACGATACGGCTTCTCGTAATCTCGCCCTGCTAGTTCACGCATTATACTCGGTTTGCACCCTGTGGAAGGACATCTCTACATCAATGTCCGCCCTCTGGGCTGTGATTTCCCTCGCCCCTCGGTTCAATCTACCATGCACTCCTCAACGCTTTCTTGAGTTGTCGGCCGGCAACCGGATCACGTTGGTCATGGAGGTCAACGCGGTGAACACGAAACACGGTTCCCTCATGTTGCGAACTATGGATCAATGTGATGCTCTGCAGCGAGTCTTTTGTCTATATCTCCGTATCGCCACGAGGGAGAGCTATTTGGACTTCATCGAGCATCGCTTTTCATCCCTCGAGCATCTCCATCTCTGCGCGCCGTACTTCCCCTGGGCACCGGAACTTGAAGATTGGGCGTGGCTAGGGGCTCACTCCCTGACGTTGATATCGTTTGACATGTGGTCTGGAGGGGGTTGGACGATTTACCAGTACCCAATACCTTTTCCTCGTTTGGAACAAGTAGACGTGCATTCAGTCGGCGATTATAGTCTCCGGGCTCTAGAGGCAATCGCTCTGGTCAGTCAAGAAATGTTCTTCAGTGGCCTTCTTTCCACCAATCCGACAAACCCAGTAGCCAACTTGCGCCAGTTATGTTTGGAAGGATATGTCGATTACAACGTTCTCAACGGCATCCTGGAATCCTCACCCAAACTCGAATCGATCACCATTCTTTCCGGAGCGCTGCGAGAAGACATTTTTGATGGTCTGATAAGAAGGCTCCATCAGCCGAGCCGTGTCTTGCACGCACCCTCCGTCCGATCCTTCCGTATCGTGGGTGGAACTCTGCTTCGAACCAACCTTCAAGTCTTCGTTAACCTCTGTGGGTCGATATCCCTTCCCAATGTCAATACCTTGACGCTCGAGCGGGTTCGATTCATACAACTGGAGGATGAGGACTACTCTCTGCCGCTTCATGTTCCATTGTGCTTGCAAGTGCACATGATCGACTGCCTGTAGCGCAAATTTCATTGGTATGCACCTTAAACGAGATTGTGAACGATTTCAAAGAGGGGGTAACGTTCCTGGAGCTTGATGTACACAGCGATAATAGTTTCTGCCAGCCAACTCGTGGCGGTTCGCTGCGCAAATTTCGGACTGCAACACGTTGTTCTCCCTCCAAAGCTTCATCGATGATCTGCATATATAGGAGCCCATAGGTGGACTCGACCATCGGAAAACCATTCTGGTCGAAACACGGACACTTCTGCATGTCTATTACGTCATCGTCAAACTCTTGTTGTCTCTCTGTATCTTATGATCTGTATCCTTCATGAATCCGAACTTGTGAAGCAGAGTACTTACAATCAATTCGGGACGTATCAGATCATGACAACTCGATGATGAAAGGCTGTTATCGGAACCGGTACGACATACTGATTTTTTCAACAAGCTTCACAATCAGTACTTGCTTTCCCGTGATGCGGACAGCGATAAAAAAGCCCTTCCACCTGAGTTAGTCAACCCAGTGGCACAGCTGGCTAGCTCCTGTGTTCACCCACATGTAGGGAAGAGTATTCTACCGTGCGGCCGGTCCAGATCCTGATAGGCAGATTCCGGCGCGTTCTGGTCGTCGAGGTTTCCTGACTCCCTTCTCCAACTCCCTGTGCCTCTCATGCCTCCACCATCTGCAAACCCCGCATTCCATTTGATCGTTCTAGATCATCAGCTGTTTGTTTACAAACTCCCTGTGACTGCAAAGCTCCCCACTGGTCTCGTAAACTCCCTCTTCGGGCCGATTGATTTCAATCGCCCAGTGTTCACTTCTATCACACGAACTGAGGAAGAAGTCTCTGTAGTGACAGATACCCAGGATTGGTCAACTGAGGTTCGTTCTATTGCAACCATCCGCTGCTGTTCTCAGCGTTCTCCCAGTTTGACGGTGCACCGGAAGGCATTCACACTCGTTGGCGGGCGCTCAAAGTGCATGGACCGATGGAACACAGTCAGTTTCTCATATTGACCAGGCTCTTCACTCACGGTTTACTATGCAACAGGCTTGACAGGTATCCTGAACGCGCTTAGTGAGCCGTTGAAAGCTGCCCGGATCCCGATATTTGCAATGTCGACGTGGTATGCTTCCTCCCTCCTTTCCTGTATCACACCGGTCAGAATAATTCAAGCGCTGACGAATACGGTAGGAACACAGACTATGTCCTCATTACTGAAGATCACATCCAAGCTGCAGTGGAGGTGCTCAAGTCGGATGGATGGATAATTATTCCTAGCACTCATGACCCCATGGGTTAATGAACAGCCGACGAAAAAGTCGGCAGCTGTCTCGCCTGCGGTGGCCTAACATCGGATCGAAGGTGGGAAGGGTTGTTGAGTGGCCCTCGCTTCCAGTACGTAGGGTATAGGTATTTGAGAAATCGTATGTAGGCAATTGAATAATGTGGCCAGAGTGCGTCATAAGCCATCTGGACTAACTATCCACCTCCTGGTTCAATTGCGTCGCCTTTAGCTTGCGTCGGTCCGCCCGCAGAATATCGTCCACTCTTTCGCACTTCTTCCCCTTGAAAATGGCGCTCATTTCTAGCAATTTTTCCCCAAAATAGTCGTGTACCTTGAGAAAATGTGTATTGCGTTCCTTCCCCTGATCCTCGTCGCTCAGACCCGCTTCAAATTCCGTGTACGCGACTTTCAGCGATTTCTGCATTTCCAACACATGCTTCATCGCCTTGAAACTAGAACCGTCGAAGTGTTGAGCCATTTTGCGGCCGAGCTCTCTGCCTGAAAGGAAAAGGTCCTTTCGGTATTGAGAGTCGAAGATTTCATCTCGTCCCTTCCTTTGGTCAATGGCGTGTTCCGCTTGGTCCTCGTCGTCCACCATGGAGTTGTACAACATGAAGATGGCGATCCAAAAGATTGACTCGAGGTCATGACCAGCGTTATGGCGCAATGGAAAGTCCTTGTCCCCATCCTCGGGTTCATTGGGGTCGAACATATAAAAGCCACGGAGCACCTCCACCGCCATAAAATCGGGAGTCCCCTGCGATGTCAAGGGATTAACAAGACATGCATAAAGATGCTGCGAACGGCACGTACAGTCCGCACATGGTGCCCCGCTCCGTCACTCATATGAATCTTCGCAAATTCCAGATCACTGAGCCGCCCTCGTTCGTTCTTCTCGTCAACAATGATATTGCCTGGAGATAGATCACGATGGTTGAACCCGGCAATGCACATTATTTTGCATGCTGCAAAGCATCTCAGCCACAAATCAAGCAATCCTGCAAAGACGACACCGACCCTGGACGACATCAGCTAGCGCTTTAAATGCGACATCTAACCTCGCGATGTGGTGCAACGGTTCTCCAATGTTGTCCATCACGGTTCGATAATGGACACGGTGGTGAATTTGGGGCAGAGTGTGCGGAGAGGGCGGAGAGGGTACAAGTTCCCCGCTCTTGGCTTTCAACGAGATTTCCTTCCTGCCTTCGCCCCCCTCGGAGTTCAGCATACTGGGACTGTACACTC